GGGGGGGGGGGGGGGGGGGGAGGCATTCCAGTGATTCTGATAGCACTTGCCTGGACAATTGTGCTATATAATCCTCAAATCTCTCAGCAGATTCCATCGGTTTTGCGTCTAGAATTTTGGCATGTTGGCTTTATTTTTTTTTTCTGTTGTCCATGCCTCATGTTCAGTGCTTTGGGACATCCCAAGTAGTCATGAATATTGACTGCTCTGTGCCTTGTGATACAGGATTAAGAAATTATAAATTTTTCATTTTGTAGGGATACATCACAAGACAGAGATCCCTCTCCTGTTGTCTACAAGAGGACAAAACTAAGGCTTAGCTGAGCTGGCAGAGGTTATACCTGGATGGTGTCCATTCACTTGAAGGTGAATCCTAATATCTTATCCTCGCTCACCCAGGCCACATTGCAAGATCATTCCCCCCGAAGCAGTTTTCTTTTCCACTCCTCTTGTTGCAGACTCTCCACTGATAATGCCAGAACAGCAGTCTTGCATTGTATACAAAGGATGACAAGGTCCTGCCTACATCCTGGGAAGTTGAAGAGCAGGGACAAGTAATGGCTGCCAGTGGAGCTAGAAATTAGATATTTGTAGTTATTTGACAAAATAAGCATTTAAGTCATGCCGTGAAGAGAGCAGGATTACTGCAGGTGTAAATTTTAAAGCAGCCTGGAAGTTGGGCTTTAACGCATCTGTGAATTCCATAAATTTGCTGGGATGGCTTGGCCATCCTAACAAGCCAATTTCTATGGAGAGTAAATCTGATTTTACTTAAAGTCCATATGTCGTATACACAGGGTGGCAGCTCCTCTCCTGGACCTACAGTCTTACAAGAGACAATCCATGCAGAGCCAGAAGTCCCGGTCAATGAGCAAGTGGAAGAAGCTGAACCAAGAGTTGTAGCCAAAGCCCTACATCTAGTGTCCAGTGGAATATTAGACTTAGGAGTCGACAACCACATATCTTGGAAGAAGACTGAGGACTGAACACAGGGCTGTACTGTGTTAGTGCAATCTAGTAGAAGACATTGTTCTAATGCACCAACAAGATTTGAGTTATAGCAGGGCCTCTGCAAATTAATTTTACTGCGGTTTGGGTTTCTGTTTAAATACATGCCAAGCGAGAGCACCAAACACTTTGCTTATCCACCCTGGAAAGGGGCAATTTGTGGAAATGTTTCTACTGTCTGTCTATATCAATCCTGGCAGCAGATAGCAACAAATCAGGAAGTGGAGCCGTAAGACATGGTTCTTTTTGAATGTACGCTACACAGGGCATGTACCATGCAGTGAGTGTGTATATTATATATATATATATATATATAAATAAATGAATGTGAGTTAGGGACCTTAGATTGTACGCCCCTTGAGGGTTAGGGACTGATGTGAATGTACAATATCTATGTGTAAAGCACTGTGTAAATTGACGGCGCTATATAAGTACCTGAAATAATTAAATAAAAGGTGTCATGATCCCAATACTAAATTGGCTTCACTGGATCAGTTTTGGACTTCGCATATCAAAACATATTACAAACAAAACCACAAGAAATTTAAAAAAAATATATGACAGACAAGAATGTACCAAACCTCGTATATACAATTTTATTATCACAGGCTTACAAAACGTATGTAAATATTACAAACAGCAAAATATGTATTGTACAAGAATGACACGGATTGTTCTATTTTATGGAAACTTTTGCCAACTTCCTATTCTAAAAATGCTAGCTGCTTGGTTGTCATGCTCATCCTTTTGATTCAGTATTTTGGGCCCCAGAACTATATAGATAAGGGCTTAGAATTTTCCTGATTAGCAATTTCCCGATCTGCTTGTATGTTACAGGTCTTGGACTCTGTGATTAAGGCTGCTTTCACACTGATCTATTTTGGTGCATCCTTCAAAAAAAAAAAAAAAAAAAAAGTGGAAGAAATCTGCATCCCTTTAAATCCTATATAGATATTCACACTCATCCATTGCCCTTCAGTTGCAGTTTAAAAAAAAAAAACATGTTGCCGCATTTTTGGTGGTGTATGTTTGTTCTGCAAAAATAAAAAAAAAAAAGCATCCCTCCCTTGAAACAAATAGAAACTACAACACAAATGCATGAAAAACAACTCACCTGTGGGAAGTTCTCAAGCCCCGGTTTACAGAATCGCATGACAATGGAAATAACATTATGTTCAATGGTGCCCTTAGAAGTCCACCAGGAACCTTTTCCAAAATTGCACTGTGCGGAGTTGATTCGGTGAGAGAATATAGAAGTCCATGGGGCTGAAACAGCACTGAAGTTGCAATGGCATAGATAAGAAGCATTCCTATACATCTTTGAAGGATTCAGTGTGGTTTTTTTTTTTTTTTGTTGTTGTTTTTTTTTAAAAAACTCTCACCTTCCCCTCCCTGGTCATCCATCTATGGATTTTGATACAACTGCAATTTTTGAGCCTTCCTTCAATTGATTGACCAACCCTTCCTTTGATCTATCAAAGAAAGAATTACTGGATCAATCGGTTGAAGGAAGGATCGATCAATCAAAACGAAGGAAGGATTGATTGATAAAAAAGGATCGATTGATAAAAGGAAGGATCAAAACCTCAGCTTTAGGCAAGGATGAGGGAGGAGAGGTGAGGGTTCCTTTTTTTTTTTTTTTTTTTTTTAAAGCCATCAAACTCGCATAGGAATGTTTCTCATCTATGCTATGGGGCTGAAATCGAGTCTATGGGGCTGAAATCGAGACACAGAAGTCTATGGGGCTGAAATCGAGACACAGAAGTCTATGGGGCTGAAATCGAGACACAGAAGTCTATGGGGCTGAAATCGTGTTGAAGTCTAAATAGAATGCGATTCCCTGGTCATGCGATTCTGTGAACCTAGGCTTGAGAACATCTAACGTGGCACTGAAGTCTCATCAATGTCGCAGCAATAGTTGCACTGGAAATCGCATTAGAGTAGTGTAACGTGATATGGGAAAAATGCAAACACGGCAAAAAAAAAAGGCATCAAAAACGCATAATGTGGTGAATTTTAACACGATGCGGCAAAAAAACGCACGTGTTTTTCATACAGTGCAGTGTGAAAGTAGCCTGAAGCCTTAGAATTGGTGTTAAGGCTAGGCAACCAGTACTTGAAGCACAAAACAAAAATGTGTTCAATGCCTTACAGTTTGCCTTCATAGAAAAGGCCTGTGCCCTGCCAGCAGTTGCAGGGAAGTCCTTGCTCTACTGGGAGAGGACAGGCTTTTCCTGTGCGGGGTTTTTTTTTTTTTTTTTTCTTCAAAAAGTATCCAAATCAGCAGTGAGCATGAGCTTTTCTGAAACACAGAGCGATAGGCCAAACTCATCCCACCCTGCAGCTGATGGCAGGTTACAGGCTTTTCTACTCAGCATGAAGCAGCATTAGAAAGAAAAACCTGTAAGACATTAAATACCATTTGTTTTGTTGCACCTGGAATGTATTTAGATGATCTAACCTGAAGGTTCAATAGGACTTCAGCAGAAAGAATTCAGCAGTGGCCCTCATAGTTCCCTTTAGAAAGGTTTCCTGTAATGTGACACTTGGTGCACAGAGGGTCAGTGTGGGATAAACGAGTAGTGAGTTCTGTCTTGCCTGCCTTTGCCATGGAAAAGATGAGCATTTTGGGAAAAATATAGAATCTGTATATCTCAATGGTGATTACCTATCCTACAATGGAATGTAGAAAAACCTTTCAAGAAGCATCCATGCAACAGGATTTTAAAGGAGTGGCTGAGAACACAGTTGCCGAATAGGTCCTTAATGAGCGGGTGCAGTGTAATGTATCTTTCAGCTTTAATATAGAAGTGTGTCCCTGTGTGGACAGGAAATATTAGCACATCAATTCTAAAGCTGAAATATACACAGGGGGTCAGATTATGAAAAAAAAAAAAAAAAAAGAATAAAAGAACAAGATGGACAAAACTTATGTGCAAACAGTTTGGGAATTTACTTTTTGAAGCAACTAAAACGCTTTCAATCAAAATTGACCACGTTTAATCCTTATACTGCTAGCATTCAGAAATATGGTATATTATACTTATTTAAATTTTTTTTCCCCCAAATGCTTCCTGGTTTCTGGCCTAGGCCAATATTATGTCATACATCCCGGGAGTTTTCATGGGCATTTTTTCTTTCATGGAGGGGCTCTCTCAGTCAAGCACACCCTCCTGCCTGCATGCCTGAGCCAAGGGCAGATGGATTATAGGAAGTTACTGCTACATGAATCATTGCCCCTACTCAAGATGGATGCGGCAAGAATGCTAGGGGGCGTTTTTATCAACAAAATAAAAGAATGGAAATATAAATGGCTGGCCGAGTTTACCTTGAAAATGAAAAATGAATAAGGAGTTTTTGGTTTGTGCTGCTCAGATACAGTTTAGATCCACTTTAATCTAGCCTGGAAAAAGTTGGCAGGCTTTTAGGCTGATCTACAGTCTTTTACAACCAAGATCCTGGAACAAGAATGCAAATGGGCTTCTGACTTTATCCTGCATGTTTGTTCTGGATTGCAAAATGCAGAAGATTCTGAAACTATAGACAGGCAGGTAACTAGTATTCCTAGAAGCAGGTCAGAATTGACAGACACTGGATTTCTCACGGTACAGGTTTCCTTAAATCAAATTGGTTGGATGGGCAGCAAGGACACTTTCTTTGCTCCAATTTTCAATTGAGCTCCAATGACTGGGAGGGCTATTTCAAGTATGGTCACCTGAATGGATGGCGGTCAGTGGTGTACTTTGTACACTGCATAATATTACATACCCGGATTATTCACAGCAACCAATCAGATTACTGCAGTCAGCTCATTAAGAACAGATGTGGGTTTGGTTGCTGCTGTCACAGTGTTTGGCATTCCTTCACTAGAAGGCTGAGGGTATCTAGTTTTTGTTGCCAGGAGTCCTGTCCCAGAAGATTTTACCATCTGTTCCCAGCTTCACCACCCCACTAGCCACAAGCTGCAAGGCCGCAGGAAAAGCTCTGTGCTCGGCCTTCTTAACCCTTTTCAGACAAAGTCTCTTCCGTGTCCCCAAACTCCACCGGAACAGCCTCTTGAAAGATGATGGCCCCGGCATCAACCTCCTCCTGCAAAACAGTCACAACACATATAGTAGCAGATTCATAAGAACTGTACATATGGAAGCACACATGCCATCCACCTTTATGACCAGCTTTTATGTTGAACTCAGATGAAGGCCTTGTTCACATGGGCGCTAAGTCCATAAGTCATGAACAGGTAGTTTGTGTGCCACTAGGCCAAGACGCCAGGAGGCCACACATTTGCGTTCGGCCGGCACCAAGGAGGTTAAAGCGACAGTGTAAAAATAAAAAATATTAAGTACCCCCATCCCCTGTGTGAAGGCATACACGCCCGTCAGACCCACACACGCAACCAGAGCTAGTCCCCCACACATGTGAGGGTATCGCAGTGAAGATTATGGGCAGCAATTCCAGCACCTGACCTCCTCTGTAAATATAAAGTGGTAACCTATATAGGCTTTTAAAGCGTCACCTTTGGATAGTAAAATTTACAGCGTTTGTCGCCGTTGTACGGGCGCAATTTTAAAGAGTGACATATTTGGTATCTAGTTACTCGGTTGTAACATCATCTTTTATATTTTACCAAAAAAATTGGGCTATATATTTTGTTTGTGTTACAAATTTTAAAAGTATTGTATTTTTGCCTCAAAAAATTGCGTTTGAAAAATGCTGCGCAAATACCGTGCGACAAATTTCAAAACCCACCAATTTATTCTCTACAGCCTCTGCTTAAAAAAAATAAATTAAATAAAATACAGCGGGTAAAATAAGTGTTAAACACGTCACCATTTTTCTCAGTAAATAGATTATTAAACGTGCTATGAACATTTTTCACCATGTCGGTAACAACCCATGCAATCCACACATACAAAGAAACCAAAACAGATACGTTCAGAAATTAAGTTATGTGTCATAAAATAGAAGGACACAGGGAAAGTATTTAGCACGCCAACTGAAAATTATTTAAAATTTCGGACAAAATCCTTTGTTGGTAATGACAGCTTCAAGACGCCTCCTGTATGGAGAAACTAGTCGCATGCATTGCTCAGGTGTGATTTTGGCCCATTCTTCCACACAGTCTTCAAATCTTGAAGGTTCCGTGGGCCTCTTCTATGAACTCTGATCGTTACTCTGATTGGGTGGGCCATTCTAGCAGCTTTATTTTCTTTCTTTGAAACCAACTGAGAGTTTCCTTGGCTTTGTGTTTGGGAACATTGTCTTGCTGAAATGTCCACCCTCCTTTCATCTTCATCATCCTGGTAGACGGCAGATTTTTTTTTATCAAGAATGTCTTGGTACATTTTTCCCTTCATCCTTCCGTGACATGAAGTTTGCCAGTACCGTATGCTGAAAAACAGCCCCACACCAGGATGTTCCCACCTCCATGCCTCACCGTTGGTTATGGTGTTTTTGGGGTGACATGCAGTGCCATTTGACCTCCCAAACATGATGTGTATTATGGCATCCATAGAGTCCAATTTTGGTCCCATCTGACCAGACTATATTGTCCCTAGTATTTCACAGGTTTGTCAAAATGTTGTGCAGCAAACTTTAAACAAGCTTCAACATGCTTTTTCCTTCAGCAATGGAGTCTTGTGTGGTGAGCGTGCATACAGGCCATAGCGATGAGTGCATTACTTATTGCTTTCTGTGCAACAATTGTACCTGCTAATTCCAGGTCATTCTTAAGCTCTCCACAAGTGGTCCTTGGCTCTTGGACAACTCTTCTGATAATTCTTTTCACTCCTCTGTCAGAAATTTTGCAAGAAGCACCTGGTCGTGGCCGGTTTATGGTGAAATGATGATCTTTCCGCTTCCGGATTATGGCCCCAACAGTGCTCACTGGAACATTCAGAAGTTTAGAAATCCTTCTGTAACCAATGCCATCAGTATGTTTTGCAACAATAAGGTTGCAAAAGTCTTGAGAGCTCTTTGCTTTTACCCATCATGAGATGTTTATGTGACACCTTGGTAATGGAGACACCTTTTTATAGGCCATCAGTTGAGACTGAACCAGCTTATATTAATTTGCACTGTCAAGAGGCAAGATTGCCTTCTAATTACTGATAGATTTCAGCTGGTGTCTTGGCTTTCCATGCTTTTTTGCACCTCCCTTTCTTTATGTGTTCAATACTTTCTCCCTGCGTCATTCAATTTTATTACACAACTTAATTTCTAAAATTATTTTTGGTTTCTTTGCATGTATAGATTGCATGGGTTGTTACTGATATGTGGTGAAAATTTCATGTCAAAAGCACCTTTAAAATGACATGTTTAACCACTTGCCTACCGGGCACTTATACCCCCTTCTTTACCAGGCCAATTTTCAGCTTTCAGCGCTGTCGCACTTTGATTGACAATTGCGCGGTCATGCAAGATTGTACCCATATGAAGTTTTTATCATTTTTTTCTCACAAATAGAGCTCTCTTTTGGTGGTATTTAATCGCCGCTGGGCACTTTGCACTTTTTTTGTTTATAGCGCAAAAAGTAAACAATTTGGGAAAAAAAAAAAAAAAAAGTTTCTTTGTTTCTATTAAAAAGTTTTTCAAACAGGTAATTTTTCTCCTTCACTGATGTGCGTTGAGGCAGCACTGATGGGCACTAATAGGCAGCACTGATAAGAAGCACTGATGGGCAGCACTGATAAGCAGCACTAATGAGATGGCACGGATAGGTGGCACGGATAGACAGCACTGATAGGTGGCACTGACTGGCATCACTGCTAGGCATTGACTGGCGCAAATGCTGGGCTGCACTGATGGGCACAGGTGGGCGGAACTAGTGGTTGGCACTGCTGGGCACCGATCATCAGGGCACTGATTGGTGCTGATCCCTGCTCTGACAGCTGCCGGTTCTCAGCAGTACTTTCCTCACGCTCTGACAGTGTGAGGAAAGTGCAGCCGAGAACCGGCAATTGCATTTCCCGATGATCAGCGTGTCATTGGACACGGATGATCACGTGGTAAAAGGCCGCTGTGATTGGCCTTTTACCACATCACGTGATCAGCTGTGTCCATAGGACACAGCTATCACAGAGATCTCCGGGGGCGTGCAGGAGAGCGTGTTCTGGGACAACGTCATATGACGCCCTCCCAGAACTGGCCGGCCGCAGTGTAGCCATCCTTCGGCTATCTGCGGTTGGCAAGTAGTTAATAGTGATTTTACCCGCTGTATATACTGTTTAGGGATTCTAACAAATTTTCTAGCAAAAAATACTGATTGTTACATGTAAACAAAGTGCCAAAAAAGGCCAGTTCTTCAAGTGGATATGTACCTGGGGCTGGCACAGTGATCATGGTTGCAATGCTCTGCAGGAATGCAAAAATGTATTAAACACACATTTTTTATTGTATAAACGTGGGTGCATTTATTACATTTTTGCAAAAGGTGGGACTAGGATTGTAATGACCATAGCTGCACTAGAGAAGCTGGCTCTATGGGCAATGCTCCAGGGTTACGCTCTTACTTTTACCTACCAAACAGCACTTTTTTTTTTTGTTACAAAGATGACAATAATGGTTCATGTAACTACAACAAAAACAAGGAGAACAATGAGTCCACAGGGAATCAGCAGAGCTAGACACTTACTGCCACAAAATGAACCGTACATCCAGTGACTCGTACTCCTGCTTCCAAAACCAGCTTGTGTGCATGGGCTCCTTTAAATGATGGTAGCAGCGATGGGTGGACATTAAGAATCTTCCCTGCAGAGTCAAAGAACAGACTTCTATTACTGACAGAATTTATAGGTAACAGTTGCCATAATGCCTTACTAGAGAGAACACACACACACACACTAAAAAGTCTACACACCCGTTAAAAATGTCAGGTTTCTGTGATGTAAAAAAAAAAATGAGACAAAGATAAATCATTTCAGAACGGTTTTCCACCTTTAATGTGACCTATAAACTGTACAACTCAGTTGAACAACAAACTGAAATCTTTTAGGTGGAGGGAAGTAAAAATAATAAACTAAAATAATATGGTTGCATAAGTGTGCACGCCCTTAAATAATACTTTGTTGAAACCTTTTGGTTTGATTCCAGCACTCAGTCTTTTTGGATATGAGTCTATCAGCATGGTACATTTCCCACTCTTCCTTGCAAAAACACTCCGAATCTGTCAGATTGCGAGGGAATCTCCTGTGCACAGCCCTCTTCAGATCACCACACAGATTTTCAATTGGATTCAGGTCTGGGCTCTGGTTGGGTCATTCCAAAACTTGAATCTTCTTCTGGTGAAGCCATTCCTTTGTTGATTTGGATGTATGCCTTGGGTTGTTGTCATGCTGAAAGATGCAGTTCCTCTTCATGTTCAGCTTTCTAGCAGAAGCCTGAAGGTTTTGTGCCAAAATTGATTGGTATTTGGAACTGTTCATAATTCCCTCTACCTTGACTAAGGCCCTAGTTTCAGCAGAAGAAAAAAACAGCCCCAAAGCATGATGCTGCCACCACCATGCTTCACTGTGGGTATGGTGTTCTTTTGGTGATGTGCAGTGTTGTTTTTGCGCCAAATTTCATCAGACCACAACACATTTTCCCACATGCTTTTGGGAGACTTCGGATGCGTTTATTGCACAATTTAGCCGGGCTTGGATGTTTTTCTTCACAAGAAAAGGCTTCCGTCTTGCCACTCTACCCCATAGCACAGACATATGAAGAACACGGGAGATTGTCGTCACATGTATCACACAGCCAGTACTTGCCAGATATTCCTGCAGCTCCTTTAATGTTGCTGTAGGTCTCTTGGTAGCCTCCCAGACCAGTTTTCTGCTCGTCTTTTCATCAATTTTGGAGGGACGTCCAGTTCCTGGTAATCTCACTGTTGCGCCATATTTTCTCCACTTGATGACGGTCTTAACTGTGCTCCATGGTATATCTCAGGGCTTGAAAAAGCCGCTCGCCAAATGTGAGGAGAAATTCCTTTGTGCCGAACAGCGAGCACAGATGAAGCATGGAGCGACTGCGCCTGCTCGCCAAGCCTCATTATGAAGCTGGTTTCTTCGGCTCTGCTGAGAGAGAGACACCCTGTCCACCACTGCGGTGGACTCGGAGGGACTAGGAGTAAGTACTGTATACAACATGTCATATCACTATAATGGAGTACAGGGGAGCTGGGATATATATTACTCAGTAATGTATATCCCAGCTCCCCTGTACTCCATTATAGTGATATGACATGTATACAGTAATGTATATCCCAGCTCTGTACTGTATACATGTCATATCACTATAATGGAGTACAGGGGAGGGGGGATATACATGTATACATGTCATATCACTATAATGGAGTACAGGGGAGGGGGGATATACATTACTGGTCCTATCACTATAATGGAGTACAGGGGAGGGGGATATACATTACTGTATACATGTCCTATCACTATAATGGAGTACAGGGGAGGGGGGATATACATTACTGTACACATGTCATATCGCTATAATGGAGTACAGGGGAGGGGGGATATACATTACTGTATACACGTCATATCGCTATAATGGAGTACAGGGGAGGGGGATATACATTACTGTATACACGTCATATCGCTATAATGGAGTACAGGGGAGGGGGGGATATATATTACTGTATACACGTCATATCACTATAATGGAGTACAGGGGAGGGGAGATATACATTACTGTATACATGTCATATCACTATAATGGAGTACAGGGGAGCTGGGATATACATTACTGTATACATGTCATATCACTATAATGGAGTACAGGGGAGGGGGGATATACATTATTGTATACATGTCATATCACTATAATGAAGTACAGGGGAGGGGGGATATACATTACTGTATACATGTCATATCACTATAATGGAGTACAGGGGAGCTGGGATATACATTACTGTATACATGTCATATCACTATAATGGGGTACAGGGGAGGGGGGATATACATTACTGTATACATGTCATATCACTATAATGGATACAGGGGAGGGGGGATATACATTCCTGTATACATGTCATATCACTATAATGGAGTACAGGGGAGGGGGGATATACATACTGTATACATGTCATATCACTATAATGGAGTACAGGGGAGGGGGGATATACATTACTGTATACTGTCCTATCACTATAATGGAGTACAGGGGAGGGGGATATACATTACTGTATACATGTCCTATCACTATAATGGAGTACAGGGGAGGGGGGATATACATTACTGTACACATGTCATATCGCTATAATGGAGTACAGGGGAGGGGGGATATACATTACTGTATACACGTCATATCGCTATAATGGAGTACAGGGGAGGGGGATATACATTACTGTATACACGTCATATCGCTATAATGGAGTACAGGGGAGGGGGGATATATATTACTGTATACACGTCATATCACTATAATGGAGTACAGGGGAGGGGGGATATACATTATTGTATACATGTCATATCACTATAATGAAGTACAGGGGAGGGGGGATATACATTACTGTATACATGTCATATCACTATAATGGAGTACAGGGGAGCTGGGATATACATTACTGTATACACATGTCATATCACTATAATGGGGTACAGGGGAGGGGGGATATACATTACTGTATACATGTCATATCACTATAATGGAGTACAGGGGAGGGGGGATATACATTCCTGTATACATGTCATATCACTATAATGGAGTACAGGGGAGGGGCGATATACATTACTGTATACATGTCATATCACTATAATGGAGTACAGGGGAGGGGGGATATACATTACTGTATACATATCGTATCACTATAATGGAGTACAGGGGAGGGGGGATATACATTACTGTATACATGTCATATCACTATAATGGAGTACAGGGGAGGGGGGGATATACATTACTATGTACAGTTTTATATTTTGGACTCTTTATTCTAAAGAAAAATGTAATTTCATAAGCTTTAAGGGGGCGTGGTTCGGGGCGGGGCGGGGTGAGGTTGGGGGCGGACCTGGGCAAGGTTGGGTGGAGCAACTGGTGGAGAGTAAGTTTTGTGACCGGCTAGTAGGTCTGCACTCAATATTTTAACCCCTGGTATATCTAATGCCTTGGAAATTCTTTTGTACCCTTCTCCTGACTGATACCTTTTAACAATGAGATCCCTCTGATGCTTTGGAAGCTCTTTGCGGATCATGGCTTTTTCTGTACTACTAGAAAAAATTTTTTTTAGGAAAAACCTACAAGAACAGCTGAACTTTATTTGGGGTTAATCAGAGGCACTTTAAATGATGGCAGGTGTGTACTGACTCCTATTTAACATGATTTTGAATGTGATTGCTTAATTCTGAACACAGCCACATCCCCAGTTATAAGAGGGTGTGCACACTTATGCAACCACATTTTTTAGTTTGTTATGCTTACTTCCCCCCCTCAAAAGGTTTCAGTTTGTTTTTCAATTGAGTTGTACAGTTTATAGGTCACATTAAAAAAAGGTGGAAAAAGTTCTGAAATGATTTATCTTGGTCTCATTTTTTACATCACAGAAATCTGACTTCTCTGTCTCATAGAACACCCTCTAAAAGTTTCCATAAGATTTTGGAGTGTGTTTGTGTGAACCTGTGTCCATTTAAGGCACATATGTGAGGTCAGGTCCTAATGTTGGATGAGTAGACCTGGCTCACAACTTACAATCCAATTCATCCCAAAGGTGTTCAGTAGGGTTGATGCCAGCTCTGTGCAGGTCACTCAAGTTCTACCATACCAAACCATGTCTATATGGAGCTGATCTTGTTCACTGGGTCATAGTCATGCTGAAACAGAAAAAGGCTCTTCCCCAAATTTTTACCACAAGGTTGGAATAGTCTAAAATGTCTTTGTATGCTGATATTTGCCAATGTCACTTGCATAAAGATGAACTAAACTCTCTCAAATCAGCATTAACTATTTTATTCCTTATGCTGCTAGCATTAGTATATACAGAGGAAAGTATATCATATTTACTTGTTTCATTTTTTTTTTTTTTAAACACACATTTCTTTAGTTGCTTCCTGGTTTCTGGCCTAGGGCAAAAACGTCATCATACATCCAAAGAGTATTCATAAGGGGAGGAGAGGTTTTCTCAGCTAAGCACAACCTGCTGCCTGCATGCCTAAGCTAAGGGCAAATGGATTCAAGGAATTAAATGCTATATGAATCACCTGACCTTTCTCAAGATGGCTGCAGCTAGAAATGCTAGGGGGCTGTTTTTCAAAGCGATTTCTCAACAAAATAAATCATGGAGATATGGATGGATGGGAGAGTTTGCTTTGCATATAAAAAATTGAATGCATCTGAGCACCACAAACTAAAAATGCAAATGTAGTTCCACTTTAATTTTAGAGCATTGACAAATTCCTCCTTCAGTTCCTGTGAAGTAGCCCTGCAAGCAAATAAAACCTGACCGTGACCATTTCTTATTTGTGCCACTGCTTAGAGGGCAAATCTGTCATCTCCTGTAATAAATCTGTCACTGTATTTGCGCCAGGACAGTCAACTAAGTCAACCTGTCGAAGAGAATTTTGTAAAACAAAGTCAGCCTGATTTGCATCTTTGTCCCCAATTTGATAAAATGTTTCCCAATGCATTTGGCCACAACAAACAATTCTACATTCCAACTCAGAATGTTAAAGAAAATACATAATATAAAATATAAGAAATACAAGTACACTTGTGGATCTGCTTAGAAAACCCCCCCCCCCCCCCAAAAAAAAAAAAAAAAAAAAAAAAAAAAAAAAAACCAGGACAGACCTTTTCATGCACTTCTAGGTATCAATAAGTCTCCATGCACACTGGGAGTTTTAATAACGCTGGTAACGTTAACTGTGTAAAGTTACATTAAAAAAGTGAGATTTTCAGCGGCTTTTAGCATTCGTGTTTAGCAGCGTCTTTTCGAGTTTGTGTTTTTTAGGGTTTTTTTTTTTTTTTTGCAAAAAAAATGTATTTTTTGCTAAAAAAAAAACAAAAAAAACATCCAAAAATGCCAGTTTGCCACGTTTTGCCTTGTTTTTCAGCATTAGAGTGTTTTTACAGCTAAAAAAAAAAAAAAAAAACTCCTGTAGAAACCCACTAGTTCTGGGGTTTTTTTTCCTGCCAAAAAACATTGATTACAGTCTGTGTGCATGGACACATAGGATAACATGCTGGGGAGTTTAGTGGCTGTAGAAAAAAAAAAAAAAAAAAAAAGCCAAAAAGCTAAAACCAGCAGCTGCAAAAATGTCCTGTGTGCATGAGGACTACATATCACTCACCGCTCCACTTCCTGACAAAGGGTCCGGACAGAATCCTCATGAAGCCGGCCAGACACACAAACTGGATAGAGAATTCCTCAAGAACCTCATCAATGGTGTTGTCAAATTCTTCCCGGCTCTTGTACTGCCTGTGGTCGATGACCTGAAGTATGGAACAACTTTAGTGGCGTGTAGTCTGAAAGCAGTCATATCAATCCTTTCCTTTAAAGATGTACTCCAGTCTTACCTCCAGTCTTACTGAAAATGTACAACACAAGCTGCAGTATAGATATAGCCCGCCCCATTTCCTGGCTGAAGGACATCCAGCATCATTCAACTCGTTCTTACCCCCCACTGTCTGTCCTTGGTCCTCCCCTTCTATTCACTGAATTTCAGTTAATTTAATCATGAAGGCTCAGTATCAAGTGTGGGCGTTACCTAGGGTGGTCTGCTGTGTTCAGGAAGCTATGTGCAGCCCCTCCCACTAGCCATGATCTGCCTGCATTGCATATAAAAAAAAAACAAAAAACAAAAAAACACAGACTCAGTGAAAAGATCGCTGGGTCTAAAATAAGGTATGTAGTGAAAATGGAAGGGCCAGACTTGGGTTCATGCCAGATTACTGCAGGAAGAGAGATGTGCTAATCAGCTTTCATGGATTTGATCCTCTGACTTTGTACAGACAAATCACTAGTCACTTATCCAGCTAAAGGTCTGCATGTCTTCCCATAACTCATCATTCTCCCTGATGTGCATTAACTGCCACATATCAGCAGGTACTGCAATCACAATAGATTGTCAAAAAGCTTCTTTGGAAGATAAATTTTTGACCCAACGGTAAAATCTTTACCGGAAAGATTACAGATTGTGTCAAACTTTCAATATTTATTTATTTCAGGTACTTCTATAGTGCTGTCAATGTTACGCAGCACTTTACACATATATATATATATATTGAACATTCACATCAGTCCCTAACCCTCAAGGGGTGTACAATCTAAGGTCCCTAACTCACATTCATACATACACATACTAGGGCCAATTTAGACAGGATCCAATTAACTTACCCCGCATGTCTTTGGAGTGTGGGAGGAAACCGGAGCACCCAAAGGAAACCCACGCAAGCACAGGGAGAACATGCAAACTCCATGCAGGAGGCGCCATGGTCGGGAATCGAACCCATGACCCATTTACTGCAAGGCAGACGTGCTAACCACTAAGCCACTGTGCCACCCGATATAGAGGGATTCACTCACAGAACATTTTTTTTTTTGTGCCGCTAGATGTCCTCAGTCTGATGCCAACCTCATTTTAACCACTTCTTCTGAGCGCAGGTTATCCTGGACCCACACTACAAGATCTACGCCACAAAACTTATCAATAGCATAGCAGTTGGACATTTCCAGCACAACCTTTTTATGCCAGCTATGTACCATCTACGTATACACACCAAGTGGAATGATGACCTACTTTGGATTAATAGCATGATGTGAAGTTTCATGAGCTGCAACCTTGGACTGCTTGTTATATTGCTAGTGTTTCCAAGAGGACTAGTCTATCTCTAATTTGTGAGAAATGGCCATATTCCAGCTTGGTGTTGCATTTACCACGCTGCCAGATCCTCAAAATTGATTTATAAGATACCCTTATCTTTAGCTGGTCATGGTTATGCTCCATTGATCAATTATCATGGCATTTTGTACTAAAGTCTTCACTCAATGATGTTATTATTATACTGGATTTATATGGCGCCAAACAGTTTGCTCAGCGCTTTACAATATAAAGGGAGACAATACAGCAACAATACAGTTCAATAAAAGAGGGTTAGGAGGGCCTGATCCTTGGAGCTTACAATATAAGAGGGAGGGGCTGGTGGTACAAAAAGGTAGTAACTGTGGGGGATGGATTGTTAGGAGGAATAGAAGATTCCATTATTAGCTGAGGGCAGGATAGGTTTCCCTGAAGAGATCGTCTAAAAGTGTGCAGAGTAGGCGATAGTCTGATAAATTTGGATAGAGTGTTCCAGAGGATGGGGGAAGCTCTGGAGAAGTTCTGGAGACGAGCATGGGAGGAGGAGACAAGGGAGTTAGAGAGCAGGAGGGGTCGTGTGAGGAGCGGAGAGGACGGGTTGGGTGATATTTGGAGACAAGATCGGTGATGTAATTTGCGGCAGAGTTATAAATGGCTTTATATGTTATTAATGTTTTTTAATTTTATCCGTTGGGCAATGGGAAGCCAGTGGAGGGATTGGCAGAGAGGGGTGGCAGATACAGTTAGTAGGAGCCAATGGCTCCCGCTGCTGCCTCTAAGCAGAGGGAGCCGCTGCAGATGGGTACAGTGCTGAATCGAGATCGGGCTCAGGTTAGTACACAGGGGGTGAAGGGGCAATACAAACACTAGGACATTTTTACCCTTAATGCAGGGACTGCATGAAGATAAACATGTCCAGGCATTAGAACCACTTTAATAGAAGGGACAAATCACAAAATAAAGTTGCACTTTTCATGTGCAGACTTTTTGGACAAAAAGATATTAATACTAGGGCCGTGTCCCAGGATTGATCCACTCACCAATTCTTGGGCTAATTATTATGGACATAAATTTAGTAAAAGGAGTATTTTTTTTTTTTTTTAATTAATGAGTTAGAAAATTATTTCCGATTGGTTGCTTTAAATGATTATACTTTACACAGCCTCACTGAGACAACATCACATGACAAATGAGCCAGCCCATCACCTTTGTTGGAATACCAGCTGTCTCTGCCTTCTGCAGCCCTGCAACTCCGGCTTTGTTGGAGATCACCAGAGTGATGTGGGCAGCACTTGTGGGAGATTTGGCACTCCTAATTAATGCCTCCATATTGGTACCTTTGGCAAGAAGAGAAAAAAAAAAATCCAGAATAAATACCTTTTATAATGACTTTAATATGCAGGGTAACTTTTAGCTTCGGAAATAAAACTTTGCAAGTTTGGCAACTTTAGGTTGACTTTAAAGAACGCAGAAGAGTTTTTTTGCTGTCATTGAGGTGGACAGCTAATGGAACACGATCTGTACTTCAATAGATTCAATGGTGTATAGTGAAGACAACATGAAATCTAGAAGACCCCAGTGATTAAAGAGAACCTGTCACACAAAATGATATCTGCCAACTCCCCTAATAGAAATAATGTAAAGTGAAAAAAAAAAGGAAGTTATTAAAAAAGTGACACCCAAGCAAAAAAAAAAAAAAAATTAGAGTCCTGAAACCCTACACCCCCATGTATTTTATGCTGCACCTAGGGACACACATATATACAAAAAACGTTCATTTCAGAACACTTTACATGTTACCGTACATGCCAAAGTGTGAGAAACCATGTACTGGTATTGCCATTGGACAATATTGTGTATCAAAGTATGTTTCACAAGCATGTACAATTTTAAGACTTGACATATTGGGTGCCCATTTACTTGGAGAAATCTCATCTTTTTTACTTTACCTCTGACGAAGCCCCTCCCAGAGCTTAACACATAAGGTGGTGACATCATCACGTTGCCTGGATGTGTCATGAGAGCCACTGCTGTGTTGCTGTAGGATGCAATGTTTGGTGACTGCTATTTTTTCACCTTTTTGATGCGATTACATATTATGTGTCATTGGACTTTTTATAAAAACAGAGAGCACTAAAAGGTTTGTCTTTATTAGTGCTGGAGAAGGAGAGGAGGAAGGAGTGTCTGAAGCTCAAGGGGAAGCTCCAAATGACCATTTAAAGGTGCAAAGCATTTGTGAGTCAGAGTCCTTGGATACACATCAGGGGCCTAAAAAGAGGGACTCATACTTCCTGGCTTTCATCAACACCCAACACTTGATTTTTTCTTTAACCAATCTTTGGGAAAGACTGTTGGGAACTTTGTTTATTGTAGATGGGTGTGATTTAATACTCACAAAGTAGAAACGTTTCAGAGTGAATCATTTGGATAGTCTCACTTCTAATGTTGCACACGTAGGAATTTTTACTTTTTTTTTTTTTTTTCTTCTTCAAAGATGCACATGGCTTTACCATATGTAAAAACTGTGATCTTTTGTATTACATGATCTACAAAAATGGAACTACCGCCATTATACACCCCAGAGTCTCCGCTTTGAGAAAATACATTTAGGGGTTTTAGCTAATCAAAATGCCTAAATGTGCATTTTACCAAAAAGAAAACACAGGTCTGGAAGGGAGAGTTAAATGCTTACCGGTCCCAGAGATGAGAACAGCCACTCTGGTTTTTCCTTCATTACCCTGGTTTTGTCCATTATAAACAGATGGGATCACATATTTCTGCAGCTGTACATTTGTCCCAAGCAGAGCTGCCTTAAGATTTTGGATTTCCACACCGCAGGAATCTATCAGAGACAGACAATAAGTCACTTACTGGGGCACTGATCACTTGAATATTAACTACATCACAAAATGACTACAACACATAACTAGAGTGCCATCTCTGCTCAGCACAAGTTGAGGTGTCATTTTCACCAAATTTAATAAAATGCAGCTTGCCACTATGTTACTGTATTTTCTGCATTCATTTCCTTCTTTCAGGCCTATTATGCATTGCTGTTATGGCTTTCTGTCTTTTGCATGAAAATTTTAGTCTGCTACATTTGCAACTTTTTGCAAAAGGAAAAGTTGAATCAATGTGCAAGTACCTTTTTTTCCCCCAGTGAGGCCTGCCGAGCATTGCACATACAGGACTTTAATTTTTTTTCCAGCCTCAGGTCTATTCGGAGATACAGACCAACTGTTATGGAGCTACAGGAAATGCAGCTGGGACTACAGAGTGGTGCGACATTACTGCACTGCCGAGTCCAACTATCCCCCTCAAGTCTAGACACGGCTGTAATTTATCCCCAAGATTGCACCTGGCACTTGTCTCTAAAACTGCCTCCCTTTCCATTTCTACCTCCCTCAAGTAATGTCAAAGAGGGAGACCGTAAGTTGCATAGGCACAAGCCCTTCACCTGTTTAGAAGAGGGAGGAGGAATCACAGACCAAGTTGGAAGATGGGACATGTAGGAATTTACTTTGGGCGATCCCAAAACTGGATGACACAATTGAGCAAAATCAAACCACTGTAATGAATTCAAACAAAAAGTGCTTTATGAAGAAGCACTCCATGATTCAGGTAATGGTGGGGAGGTGGGGTTGGTAAAATGGATTTTGACAATGGTGTATGTGACCATGTTTCCTAAATTTGGGAGTAACAGGAAACATGGCCTTAAAAAAAACAAACACAAAACCAAAAAAACCCCCCCCCCAAAAAAAAAAAAAAAAAAAAAAAACCAAAAAAAAAAAAAAAAAAAAAACTTAGACCTATGCCCTGTTCACGATAAGAAAATTGTACAAAAAATTTTGTGTAACCACTGATTGAACGATTTTCTCTTCGTTGATTAGCAGGATGTTTTAACCGATAACGATATTGTGAACAAAAAAAACCAGTTGAACAGTGAAAAAATTTGTCATTTCGCATACCAACTACCAATTTTCTATGCGGTGGGAGGACAAGAGAAAAAAAAAAAAATCTATCAAGCGCTATCACGCAGGAGCGGAAACAGAAGATGACTCGGATGTTTATGTCCAAGGAATCTTCGTAAACACGAACGAAAAACCAAATGTTAAAAATAGATTAGCCTAATGAGATAATGAAACCAGAATTCTGCAAATTATATTGTATGTATCACTATTTATGTATATAGATAATGTAAAACGATATTATACTCATTGCTGGTAATTGTGTATATCGCTCGTTCTGGCCGGAAGGGCGTGGCTACAAGGTCACACGCACACTGCATCACTTCCACTTGTACGGAAGACGTCAACACTACGTATTTCCGGACGAACGTTTTTTTTTCAGATTGGTTAATGTGAGCCACGATTTCGACGAACAAACGAACGCCTCTCGGTCATTGGATGACCGATCGGTCGATTTTCTAATTGTGTATTCCCACCTTAAGTCTTTAGTGGATAACAAATCTGCAGTGAAGTGCACGTTTCCAAAAAGGCACAATGAGGGACATACCTCGTACTATGGTTTTATTCATTTTAAATGGCACCTCAAATGTACAAATGTAGCACAACGTACATTCTGGAATTTCTGGAGCGCGGTGTTGGAAAAATCCTGCATATCTGCATTACAACGGGCTTCTCTCTCTGGTGCCCATGTGACTGGCAATTAACACACAAGTAGAGAACAATGCACCTGTGTTTGGCTAGCCCATCTCCTGAAGGATGTCAGTTTGAAACACGGGCTATGCCTAGTGATGGGAGGGGAAGCGGATCTATGCTGTTCCAAGAAAAACTCTCAATCCGCAAGATGTACAGTAGTGGAGCCCAGTGATGGGAGGGGAAGCGGATCTATGCTGTTCCAAGAAAAACTCTCAATCCGCAAGATGTACAGTAGTGGATAGGTGGGCATATATAACATTTGTCTGGTTTTCAGGCACCTAACTCCCTACAGGCTGCTCTCCTGTTGAAAAGAGAGAACTTCCTACTATAAAACCCACACCAGCCACCAGCTTTAACCCACACCAATACAAGACCTGCAGGCCGGGGCGTCACTTCTCCAATGATCCAAGCATCTTCTGCTGGTTGGAGATCCCTTAGAACTTCCTCAGCCTTTGTCCTCTCCACTAGCAAGATGGCGCCAATCCCACAGTTAATGGTCCGACTCATCTCTTCCTCTGACAGACCTCCATGCTTCTGCAGCCAAGAGAATATTCCTGGGACCTTCCAACAAAGCGCATCTGAAAAGAAGGTGACACATGCATTAGTCTTAAACAGGAACACTATAATAAATGGAATTCTTGTCTTTTCAGTTACAAGACTCAAAACTTAGCTACAACAAAAACACTCATCCTGCTTAAAGCATAACTCCACTTTTGCAGAAACATAAAAATAAAAATTTTTTCAAAAAAAAAAAAAAAAACCACACACGAATAATGTACATTGCAGGGATTTTAGGTAAAATGAATATCTCCTAAACCTGCACAGTTTAGGAGATATTCACTCTTTTTGAGAGCAGGTGCATGCACTCTGAAGGAACGGCATGGGTATGCCGTTCCTTCAGAGTACTGTGCTGTGACTCGAGACTCCCACGTGCATGTGCAGAAGTGACGTCATCGTAGCTCAGCCAGTCAGACAGCTAGAGCTCACGAACCTGGAAGAGGACCCGGTGAAGATGGAAGCCTCTGCAGCGGTGACAGCATGCTGCTGCAGGGCTTCATTTTAAGGGAAGTCTGTTATAATGCACTACCATGCGATGCGTACCAGCAAATTATGACATTACCGTGCAGGGGATATTTTATTTGCCTGCGGTTTACTACTGCTTTAACCCTTGTGGAGTATCTCACCAAAACTAAAATTCCTATTGCAGGGAATGCCTAAAATCTGGCTTAGAGCAAACTTCTAGGAAAATCAGTGAACCAAATCATACTAGCAGTAAATTACATTTCTAGTGGCGTGCTGTACACCAGCAGTGTATGGAATGATTCCAGGTTGCAATAATGCATTGAATTTTACAGAAAATCTTATGCAGACACACACACACACACACACACATGATATTGCTGGATATATAGGAACTTTTAATGCTTGCAGGTTTCACAGATGTCATTTGTGCTTATTTTTGTTTTATTCATTTTTTGTGTTACCTAAAGTGACTCCGAGGGAAGCAGGCAGGACTCTGGGAATGTTCTCCAGCAGACCTCCCCCAGTGATGTGCGCATAGGCTTTCACATGGCCTGATTTTAAGATGGGTAAGAGGGCTTTGCTGTAGATTTTAGTTGGTGTCAGTAAAATCTCACCTGATAGAGAAACAAAATGTTAAAATGTAAATACAATAAAAATGCTGTAAGAGGACATTAAACAAGTGTAAAAAAAAAAAAAAAAAAAGCAAACTCTTGTTAAAAGCTACCACAAAAACTTCAGCGCAGTCACTGTAAAAAAAATAAAATTAATATAGTGCTACCACTCTAATAAAAGTGCTATAGGATAGTAAATATGACTGTTATGACCATAAGTTAAAGTGCATGTGTGCTTATATTTTAAATAATAAAAAAAAAAAAAAAAAAAAAAAAAAAAACCAAAAAAAAACACACCAGTAAATGCAGAGACTACTGTCCTTACTGCTGCTGACACGTCTTGTGTTCCCACAAGTGAAAAATTATATAAATAAATTTATATGACAGTGTTGCACAGTATAAAGTGCATTAATCCCTCTAAAAGATAAAGTGTGTTGTTCTGACGAACATGTGCATATGCAATATATAGGTCACATATATCAAAATAAATGTGATCAAATAAATACGCAAATATGATCAAAGTTCCAAATGTCCATTTGAAAGAAGATTGTCACAATAGTTCTTGACCTTGATTCTTTAGTGCGTTTACTGTATATATTCTCCACTTTTCTAACTTCTTATCACCACGTGCATCTCTCCCATCACCTATTTCCATATGCTCTCACTTTGATGTCACACCGCTAAACCGGAAGTGTGCGGGAGGCCTTTTTGTTGGAGATTATCCATACTATAAGCCTGGATACTGAAGTACACCAGTTATAGTGAACTTCATAAATTGAGTATATTTTAATCTTTTAATAAAATATTGTTACCCACAAGGAGAGCACTCATTTTTGGTCAAAGCATCAAAGGTGAGATCATATAGAAATAGGTGATGGGACAGATGCACATGGTAATAAGTCAAAAGTGGAGAATATATAAATGAACTAAGTAATTGAGCTTTTGCACGTATATAAAGCTATTGTGGAAATTTTATATGGACATTTGGAAGTTTATTTGATCATATTTGGTTACATTTATTTTGACATATTGCATATGCACATGTTTGTTATGACAACGCACTTTATTTTTAGAGGGATTCATGCACTTTACACTGCATGACACGGTCACAGAGGTTTATTTATATATGCAGCGATGTAGAAGCCAGTGGGACAAACCACAGTACCCAAACAAGGGATTGGGGGAAAAAAAAAACCAAAAAAAAAAACCACAGGAACATCCTGAAGTGTTAGATATCAGAAGTTCTTAAGTTACCTATATCGGTGCTCCCAGTGTGAGAAAACAGATAAGATAGAGAAGGAATATTACAAATGAGCTTGATCAAGTTCATGACTTATAATGTGAAAGTATTAAATTCCCCGACAAAAAGACATGAGTTTCTTAGGGAAATATACCAACATGCCATAGACGTAGTGTTTCTACAAGAGACACACAACCTACGATACATATAAATTATACTTGAAGTACTATCCAACATGGTATTATGCGGATTCCCCAGTTAAAAGGGTTAAAGGAGTAGCAATCGGGTTTTCAAAAAAGGTTAGCTTCACCCTGGAGGAGAGAGTGGAGGACCCAGAGGGCCGGTTTCTTTTCCTGAAGGTAAGACTACAAGGAATGGAATATACACTAGTTAATATTTACTACCCAAACAAAAACCCAGTAACATTCTTGGAGGGTATGTTAAGTAAAATATCTGAATATAAGAGGGGTAACCTAGTTGTGGCAGGAGATCTTAATCTGTGTTTGGATCCGTATTTGGATGCGTCATCCGGTACGATGAGAGGGTGGTAGGAAATTAAAATTACTGAAGAGATTATTACACCAAGGCCAATTGACAGATACTTGGAGAGTAAAACATCCAAGAGAAAGATTACACCTTCTCTCCAGTACATGGAACATACTCAAGATTGGATTATATATTGATCGAGAACAGACAGACAATTGGAGTCATTGGTTAGTTCCAAAATAGAGGTTATGTCTATCTCTGATCATGCTCCTGTCACAGCGAGACTTCAGATTGGAGTGGAGCAGGGCAAAACAAAATACTTGGAGATTAAATGAGATGCTCATACAAGATCCTGAAACAGTGGAAAAGATGAGGAAGGAAATTTAAAGATCTTACGAACAGGAAGTGAGGAGGATATTTAATAGGGTATCAAAAGAAAAATATCAGTGGGGGAATAAACCTGGAAAATATTTAATGAGGTTAAAAGGAAAGGAAATCTAAAAATTTTATAGATAAAATCCAAAAGGAGAATTAGTGTATTCCACCAATGATATTGCTAATAGGTTCCAAGAATACTATAGCAGGCTTTATAATGTGAGTCCTAGAAATCAAAAAGAAAATGGAAGATCAGAAGAGAAAAAGGCAGAAATACTTAAAAGGACTTGGAGATGCATAGAATAGCAGAAGATAAATTAGTGGCCCTAGAGAGAACTATAACCCCGGAGGAAGTCAGTTTGGCCCTGAAGAACACGGCCTCAGGAAAAAGCCCTGGTCCGGACGGATTCACTGTAGGTTATTTTAAAAAATGTAGAGATCTTTTGGTCCCCAAAAAAAGGGAAGAATCATTGCAAGCACATATAACTATTATACTCAAAGAAGGTAAGGATAGCTCACAGTGTTGTGTGAGCTATAGACCCATATCCTTATTAAACACTGACAACTATATGCTAAGGTCTTGGTAACTAGATTGAAGGAGCTGTGCAGGAGTAGATACACCTGGATCAGGTGGGGTTTATCTCTGGAAGAGAAGGACAGGATAATGGTCTATGATCATTACTCCCCTTACAAAAAGTAAAGAGAGAAGCAGCCAACAATATTCCTGTCGATAGACACTGAGAAGGCCTTCAACAGGGTGGATTGGGGATTTATGTTTGATACATTAGATGTTTTGGGACTAGGACCCAAAATGTTGAATTAGATACAAGGGCTTTATAAAGGTCTCACAGCGGCAGTTAAGGTCAACAAATCCCACTCCCAGTCGTTTAAAATGTACAATGGAAAAAGACAGGGATGCCCACTATCTCCACTGTTTGTGTTATCACTAGAACCTATCTTAGCAAGGGTTAGGTGGCGTGTGGATATAGTAGGAAGAGAGATTGGGGATGTGGAGCACGAGGTGGCAGCATACGCAGATGATATGTTATTTTATATAGTAAATCCTGGAATAACATTGCCTAATTTAATGAAACTTTTAAAACAATTCAGCGAGCTGTCAAATTTGAAAATAAACCCTGCAAAGTCAGAGATCTTAACTATCAACATCCCAAAGCAAGAGAAGTTGAGTCTTCAAAAGGTTTCCATTCACTTGGAAGGAAAAGGAAACAGACTATTTGGGAATAAAATTAACGCCCTCAATGAAAAGCTTGCACCAGGCAAATTACATCCCTTTAACAAATGAAATAAAGGATGAGCCGGGGAGACTCTCAAAGGGTGGAGCTTCTCGGATAGGTCATATAAATCTGGAAACGGTGGTGATAGTCCCAAAAATTCTTTATAAGTTCCACATGCTCCCAATAAGCGTTCCAGGGTCTTTTTTGGGGGTAATAAAGAAGATGATACTCAGGTTTATATGGGTTAATAAGAAACTGAGAATTGGATATGACCCTCGGCCTGGGGATCAGACAAGTCCGGTCTGGAGAGCTGAAAGACGGACTTGATTGGAAGGCCCATTCATGCCTATGGACAGAGCCCACCTGAGAGATAGCTGTAATCCATCCCAGTATCCAGAGGAGGGAGTTTCCATAATCAGGCTGCAAACACGCATCCATCCCTAAAGGAACCTCTAGCTGGACGAATTCCTTTACAATCCAGGAACACCTGCTGTGCTGTATACCATCCAGAGGGAGGATATTCCATACCTGGCCTACCTCGCATCCTTAAAGGGGACCTCCTGAGTGTATATTTACATGCGTATTTTCAAAACACATCTGGTCAGTGCGTATTTTTACCATATCTTCAAGCACAGCACTGAATATTGGAATGTTTCCACTACTGCAACTGGGACCCTAGCACGGATTATCACTTTATGAACTTTTTTATAATATATCTATCTATCTGGTCTCAATCACGGACAAGATTTATAATTTTAGCACTGCACTTTGAATCTATAAAGATATGATGTATTGTGTAGGGTAAAAAAGGAATAGGGTTGCGTAATTTTAGGAAATATTATTTAGCGTTATCACGAATAGTAGAATGGACATTTAATTCACAGGAAAGGTTGGGCAAAATATGGAAGGAACACCAAGTAAGGCAAAGTTAGGGAAGAATATATGGATACCACATAAATTTCGTTCACTAGATGAGAATATTAGTCCTTTAACAAGAAAATGTTAAGTGTTTGGGACAGAATTTATAAGCAGAAAGGATGGAAATTAATTCTGTACCGATTCCTTTGGTGGGTACAGAGTATTTCCCTCCAGGGAAAAATATCATTTTTGGTAAATGGATTAAAGAGAAGAATGCACGTTTGAAGGCTATTTTGATTAAGGGGAATTAACACATATCAAGAGCTAAGGGAAAAAAAGTGATTTATTTTCCACATTAGATAAGTGGTGGTATGGACAATTAGGACATTTTGTTTCAATCGCTCCCTCATCCACTGAGGACCGAGGAGGATATGTACCCATTTGAAAAATTGTTGAATGTTAATACAGTTCCAAAACAAGCTACCTCTAGGATATACTGTATAAGATCCTCATAGATATGGAAGGGAACTGATCCTCCTGGGTTCTTGGAAAAATGGGGAAAAAGGAGCTTGGAACTAAATTGAAGGAACAACAAAAGGAATAAAAGATTTAAATTAAACACGAGGTGACAAATAGGAGCACAGTAGAAATGAACTACAAATGCTTGCCGAGATGGTATATTACACTGAGTGTGGTGCATAAGAAGCAAGCTGCAGTTTCACCTTCATGTTGGAGAGGCTTTGGAGAAAGGGGTACAATGGCATACATTTGGTGGGAGTACAGGAGTTTTGGAAGGAAATAATTCATAGTATCCAGGAAATTAGTGGGATTACTATACAAAAGGGATCCATGGATGTTTTTATTTTAATCTGAGCTTGTAGGCAAACAGTGTACAAAATGGAATACTATACCATTTAATTATTAGTGTGGCCAAGGGCCTGATCCCCAGGTTTTGGCAAGCTCCAGAGCCACCAAGAATAAAATGATTGGTTAAACAAAGTGGAAAATATTTTTTTTAGGATGGAGGAGCTGTGTCCTGCGGAGGAAGATAAAATGGAAGAACGTAGGAAAACATGGGGTTGTTGGTTAGAATTTAACACATCCAAGAGATACTTTGAATTGGCCGGGAGTCAGGGGGGAAAAAGCCCAGAGAGAGCATGATGGAGAATCTGAAGGTGAGTGTGAGAAGGAAAGGGACATAGATAATGAAAGATAAATATAAGAGGAATAAGAAATAAGTTAATTAGGTCTGGACAGGGGTAATTTGGGAGGGGAGGGGGGCGATAAGAAATCGTAAAAGAGGATTCATGTACTGGTGAATGTGAAGTATAATTGGGTGGTTATATTTTTGTATTGGAAAATTTAATAAAAATCTAGAAGAAAAAAAAAAAAAAAAAAAAAAAAAAAAGATGCCGACAAAGAGGCGACTGCACCACTCTTCAGGAACTGGCTAAACTTCGTGCAATGTTCGGCTGGCTTTAGTGTCAAAGGCTGCATTTTATACTTATACAAGTGATAGTGTCACTTTAAACTACACAGAGGAGAATTGTGTTAAAACTTCTAGAAACAAATATTACTTGGTTACTCCACTGACATAGCACACTCACCAAATGTCTGTGTCCCACAGACAAAGGGGGCTGGAGAGGAGAAGCCCAGGCCAGACTTCTCCAGAATCTTCCTCACCAGACTGAAACCATTGCTATGGACCCCGGAGGAAGCCACACCGATCACCAGATCCCCTGCTGTGATCCTGTCCAGCAATGGCAGCATGTGGCCTCTCTCCACCGCTCCTACTGCAAACCCTGCAAGGTCATACTCCCCCGGGGCATACATGCCTGGCATCTCTGCTGTCTCACCCCCTGCCAGAGAACAGAAGACAACCCAGAACTATACATTACAAAAATAAAATAAGCAAAAGGAAGGGCAAAACACAATTGATTTATTCAATCTAATACAGTGGTTATAGAAAAGAATCACCATCCTTTAAATTAATCACATTTTGTTACTTTGCCACCTGAAATAAAGAAAGTTTTTCATACAAAGAGCGGGTGCAGCAACCCTCATAGCATGTTTTCCATAAGATAGATAGATATCTCTCTCTCTCTCTCTCACCATGTGACTCTGCAATTTTCATCCTCTGAACCAGTAAATCAAATCATATAGGATTGGCAACAAGGTGAAGATGAATTATAGAAATTTTATTCAGATGCAGAGTAAAAATAGTTCCAGAATGCATTCTGGAAATATTTTTACTCTGCATCTGAATAAAATGTCTACAATTCATCTTCACCTTGTTGCCGATCCTATATGATTTGAGACACAATTTTTGTTTTATCCAGCTGAATTTAATGAGTGCAAATTATAACATCCAAGTGAACGATAGAACACCAACATGTCAGAATGAAGAAAAAATTATAAAAAAAAAAATTTCAAAAATAGAATCACTGAAATGGGAAAAAATGATCACTCCCTTGTGCTCAACTTCAACATTTTTAGCCTCCGTTAGGTTTTTATTGCTGTGTCCACACACTGGATACACTTCCCATTGTTTCCTGCCAGGAAAAGCAGAATGGGGACACAAACATCTAACAGGGTTTTAAATTTTTGCCAATATCTTCTTGTCTTGGGATGACTGAAAATCTCCCCCACCACGCCCATCCGCCAATGGATTCTTGCATGGGTGTCATAAGGAAATGAAGGTAAAGGAAAATTTCCACAATAGGGTAACAGAATGATTTTAACCTTTCCCTGATCGATCTAAAAATGTGCTTGTGCAGGTGGAGGGAAGCTTAGAATGTGTTGATAGCCGAAACTCGATTTTTAGTTTTAACTAAAGTGGGGAGGGTTAGAACCTCTGTCAGCAATGGTTTGTCCCTTACTTCGAAGATTAGGCCCCTATATTTGTTCTGGGATATATTAAAAAAAAAAAAAAAAAAAAAAAAAAAACACAAACACAAAAATACCACACAAGATGTCCAAAGCTATTCCGTGATCTGTTTAAGTGCCGAGTCACAATATAGAAACGCAGTCCAGATGCGTTCCGGATGCATTTCCACATGCGCATTTTTATGCATTCCAATTCATATTCCCCCCTTTTTCTTCAATTTAAATAGGGACGTGTGTGTTCTACAGCATTCCAGTACAGTTCTGTGCAGAAAAAAAAATGCAGCATGTTCTACTTTTTCTGCAACTGCAAGCACTGATGTGAACTATGACATTGACAATCATATAACCTAAATTTCTGTGCTTTTTGGATGCAGGAAAAAAGCAAATGAAAACGCACGTAGTGTGAACTGGCCCTAAGACTAGAAAACATTTGTCCTACAGATACACCTTAAGCAGGTGTGCCATGATTTGCAGCCTCCTGCATGTAGGAGCTTTCCAGGTTGATATGAACTTGGAGAGATTAAAGCAGAAGGCATCACTTGTCAAACTTACCCATGGAGACCATTGGAGCCATGCCGCAACCAAGAGCCAAATGGTTGGCTTGCAGTTCCAGTGAAGTCTTGCAATGTAAAAATTTTTCCTTGGCAATAAAACTGCCCCGCCTCCCAAAAAAAACAAAAAAAACACAAATAAAAACAGCAGGCAATCACACATCCAATTCCATCACATACCCAAAATAAAGAATTATTCTTCATTTCAGGGCAGTGAGCAGGGTCATGCAAAAGATTTCTCTATGACCCATTGGCTAGATGTGAATCTTAAACCTCAAGTGTATAGTGCAAATATAGACCAATATTGTAGAGTCACTTATTCAAAACTGCATATAGTAGTTACAGGCTTATTGGCCATCATCAGTGCGGGTTTATGGTGAATTAACAGAAACAATGGGCTTCAATGAAAACATGGGGTGAGGCACCAAAGCATATACTTGAACAGAAGGATAGTTACCCAAAAGAGCACATCCAGCCATTTGGCAGGCCTTGGCGATACCAGAGACCACAGAGGCTGCCACAGACACATCTAGGGACCCACAGGCAAAGTAGTCCAGAAAGAACAAAGGTTCTGCTCCCTGCGCCAGGATGTCATTGACGCACATGGCGACCAGATCCTGTCCAATGCTGTCGTGTTTGTTACATGCCTGTGCAATCTACAATAGGGAACAATGAGAAATTAAAAGATCGCAAATTAAAGAAAATTAACCAAAATGTTAAAAATTAGGGATGCACCGATGCCGAGTATTTTCACGAGAACTCGAGAAAAAACGCTTCCAATGCCGGAAACCGATACTATGCAGTGCAATTTGCAAAAATACAAAATGCAAATTGCACCGCAAAAAAGCATGAGATTTGAAAAGAATGCGATTACTGTCTAAATTGCATGCGATTTTCCCCACTGCTCCTGTGTAAACCCAGGTTGTCATAGCCTGAGTGCACACAGGAGCGGTGCAGGAAACCTTCCTGCACTGATCCCATGCTGAGCAGAGAGTGGACTTGTGGGGATGAATACCATGGAGGCAGATGCTCCGGATTCTCAGCTGTAGGAAATAGAAAGCCTCAGGGATATGAAATCCCTGCAGCTTTCTCTCCTCTCTTTGCAGGGATGGAAGTATTGGCTTGACGGCTTCGGATTTGTCAGCACCACACATGTGGCAGTGCTGACCAACCAAAAGCCCTCTAGACCGAACTGTCATCCCTGCAGGAGAGGAGAGAAAGCCATGAGAATTTCAAATTTCGAGCATCTGCCTACATCTGTCACCAAGGTATACATCCCCACATGCTCTTCTCTCTCTCTCTCTATTGTGGGAAACCTCCCTGCGCAGCTCCTGTGTGAACTCAAACTATGACAAGCCTGGGTTAACACAGGAGCAGTGGGGAAACCCAAAGCGATTTGGACAGGAATCGCATGCCATTATTTGCGGTGCAATTTGCCTTCCTACATTTTGCATTGACACAAATCAAACCGCAAAGTGTCAGTACTTGTGATACCCATAGTATCTGTGAGTACAGTATTTGACTGAAAGGATCGGTACTCGTACTTGCCAATCAAAAAAAGCATATTGATGCATCCATATTAAATAAAAAAAAAATCTAAACAGTCTACACAATGGATATGTGTAGGATGGAAAGGGGGTGGAAAGGTGGTGTAGGGAGGAGGGGAGCGGGAAGGAGGCCAGACCCACAAAGTGGGGCTTGGAAGCAAGTACACTAGTAGTCCCGTAGCATGCGGCTGGCTTGCTATGGGGGCACTCAGCAAAGGGGAGAAACCAGAAGCACTGGCGGGGGACCCAAAAAAAGGGGAGGATAGGAGCTGCTCTGTGCAAAACCATTACACAGAGCAGGTAAGTAAAACACACACACTTGTTTTTCTTTACTACCTTTAATATCACGTTAATACTTGTTTTGAATCAATGACTAAGACTGGCAACTAGCATTTTCAAAAGGAAAAAGAAATGGCAACCTCTGTTTGCCTCACTGCAAATTTCTTTAAAATTAGATGTTCTTTAAACTAGGGGTAAAACACATCAAATTTCTGGATCACCACAGAGTGTGTATTGGAACATTCTCAAAATCTACATTTACGGAATATCCAAAGAGCAGATGCAACAATACCACAAATCTTGGCTGTCTGCCAATCAGCTGATCGGATACCCAGTCAGTCACAAAATTGGACTTCGTAATACAAGAGAGTTGTAAGGTACATGGTACTGTCCAGGGGTGGACTGACAACTCATGGGGCCCCCAGGCAATAGGGGATCATGGGGCCCCTGTGTTCTTGCCCAAACTCAAAAAAGCCTATGAAAAAAAAGGTACCAGGGGCATCTCATGGGGCCCCCTACTGACCCCAGGCCCTCGGGCAGTGCCCAAGTGTCCAAATGGTCAGTCCGCCCCTGGTACTGTCAAGAGCACAATTATTGTTCTAGCATAGAGACATTTTAGCCAATTGTGATCTAGAAAACTTGTGGTAAGTTTGGGGAAGCCGCCTTTCTGTTCCAGCATGACTGTGCTCCTGTGCACAAAGCCAGATCCACAAGGACATATTTGGTTGAGTTGTGTGTAGAGAGCCCTGACCTTGAATACTACTGGACACCTCTGATGAATTGGAACACCAGCTGTGAGCCAGGCCTTCCCATCAAACATCAGTACCCAACCTCAAAAATGACTTTTCGGCTAAATTAGATACATTCTTTAAGCTGGCCATATATGAATCGAAATTTGACCGATTCAGATGGAGCTAGCAGAATTCTGATCCATGTATGGGCTAGCTGGTTGTACACAAGTCAAATCGAACAACTTGTGTACAACCAGCCTGTTAGGTTTTTCCCAAACAATTCGTGCCACCAGTTATAGGGAAGGCTCCCCAACTGCAGAATAAAATAGCACAGCAGGAGCGATTCCCTCAATCCAAATGTAATGTGTGGATGGGGGAACCTCTTTAAAACCCCCCAAAAAAACCCAGAAGGGTTAAATGTATGGCCAACCTAAGTCTAGACACACCAGAATCTGATAGAAAGCCTTTACCAGACAAAACAAAAAAGCTGTAAAGTGGGAGGTGTAAGACAGATCCATATTATCGGTTTTGGAATCCGATATCCAATAAGCTCACACAGGTGTGATGGTCAGGTGTTTACAAGCTTTTGGCCATATAGTATTTGTAGCCTCTAACACCTCACTGATGCCATTGATAAAATTACTAGCAGCCATCTACTTTATGTCAGCCATTAAAACCAGATGGTTTTACTAATTTACCTTCAGTTTTGTTCCAACACCATCTGTCCCAGACACCAGAATTGGGTCTATATATCCTGCCGCTTTAAGGTCAAATAGCCCAGCAAAGCCTCCAAGCTCTGCATTGCATCCTGGAAAAACACCCAAATAAGTATAAAAAGCAATATACATCATATGTGACGAATGCAATGAGAGAAGCGCTAACTGAAACATGTAAAAGCCCATTTATACTGCTGTGCTTCAGACACTTTCTAATGAATTCTGCACCATGTGTTCTAAAGGAGGGATCTTATGAATTCTTATTGTAAATCAAAGCGCTCTCTGTACTTCTAGCATCCTGCAGGTCTCATGCAGGGAAGCGATCTTGTCAATTATCTGCTGCACTCCTCCCCTCAATTCAGGGAATGCCTTGCAATCTTAATCCATTCATAAAAATATAGGACATCCTATGAATGGACAAGAGCAGAGGAATGGTGGATAAACGACAGGATTGCTTCTCTGTATGAGACCTGCCGCTCTTATACCTACAGCATGCCTGAACACTGGTAATATTTTGCAGCTTACCAATCATTAGATGTGGTGGATGCCTTAGCTTTTCTTTTTTAATGCTCTTTCCCCTCTGTTTTCAGTAGGCGATCTGGCCAGTAACAAACCTTCTGTATTAGACTGCCTCCACTCTGGATGAAGGAGCACAGGTGGGCACAGCAGACAGCAGCATTGCAGTGTGGCTTCAGTTTTGTTAGTGTATTTAAATCTGCTAATGAATCTATGCCAAAAAGAACATAACTTCTTATAAAGTATTAAAGGATTGACAAATAAAAGCTGATAATTGTAAGCACCCCTGCCAGCAATAAATGATTTGTCTCATCCCTATAAAAGCTCACTGACTGGATGACCAGATGAAAAGAACGAAAGACAAAAAAAAAAAAAAAAAAAAAGAAAACCACTAATGCAGCCATCACGTCGAAGAATTGGTAAACGGAAATAGAAGAAATGCTTGCATTGGGTTTGATACTACTTTAAACAAATATTGGCCTCTATTACCAGTTTGGCCTTAAAGGAAAAGTTCACCTTTAGTAGCTTTATCACGTTACACCCCATATTTAGGATGCAACATGCTCCTACGCATCCACCTCCAGCGATCTCCTCCAACAGCAGGCAGGGGTTCTTCTCCCCGCACCCACGGCGATCATACAGTATTTCCTGGGAATCAGTAGACTACATGTACCACCAGCCTTTACGGCTGACAGGTTGTGACTCTCAGTGAACTGCGGGGGGCACTGGTGAGTGCTCATCTAGTTCAACAATTCTTCCTGCTCTTCATTAATACAGGCAGTACGAGCAGACAGTTTACCCAGACTATGCAGGATCCTGCCATTGCACCCCCTTACAGGCTGCAAATGTAATAATCAAATGCACTCTCCCCCCCCCCCCCCCCCCCCCCCCCATGCAAAAAGATGTGTATTTATTATTTTTGTTTACAAATAGATTGTTCACACTGAATGCAGCGTTGAAAGCGCACTACTTCACTTGAAGTAGCGCGTTTTCAAAGCCGCCGGTCAGTGTGACTTCATGTGTGGCTTGCCTGACATCTGTCCCAGATTTTAAATGGTTTAACAGGCAAAATTAGGTGCGAGTTGTCGTGCGATTTGAATGTCAAATTGCATGACACGTCGCACCAGTGTGAACCAGGGCTTAAACTTTACTGTCAAAGGGTTGAGAAGAGATTAGACTGGGATTTGAAGGGATATTTTGGTAATGTCTGGACATAAAAAAAACTGATAACCAAGAAATTCATATCTCCCAATTCCCATTAGTATGATGAAGTCATGCCTGTATATGTAAACATTTCCTGTTTGACAAAAAAAGGTTCTTTTGTCCCAGCAGACTTGTGACCAGCAGCAAGAACATCTAATCCAGTTCTGCACGCCCTCCATCTGCTCCATTGAAGAAACGCTCTCCTTATTTCACCCATCACATTGTATGCTCAGCAGGGATGGGGAACCCACATGCAACTCTACAATACTCAGCCCATAGGACTGCTTATGGCTTACCTGGTCTAGCAGTGGCAGCAGCAAAAGGCTTAATTCTCTGCACCAGACTGTTCCCAGCCTCTATGTCCACACCACTGTCTTTGTAAGTCAGGGGCCTGTCAGGACACACAGGGAAATATTAACACCCAAGGATCTAAAAATTAAAGGGAAGTAACAGCCAAAAAGCTACATTCACAGTAGAGAGGTACATATAGGAAGTGTATTGCATGCTAAAAAGATGTAGGATTAGCAGACTCTGAATCCACCAACTATTGCTTTTCTGGGTTGCTGCATCATATGGGGGAGCAATTACTTTTTTTGAAGACTGCATTCTGCAGACGTCATACCGCTATGATGAACCTTTTTTGCTCTTGGAGCCAATAAGGATTATCACCAAAATTATTGACGCCCGTTCACTTAGCACTCCCTCCCATAGGCCCCATCAGGATACAGACTCCCTTACTCGTCAGCATTCTCCCCCATCATCCCAGCTTCAATTGTCAACTGGTTGCATTAGCACAGCATAAAGAATAATTGCAGGCAATTACACAAGGATATTGAAGAATTGTTTAATGAGCTTTGAAGGAATAAATAGGACTAAAATACACACAGAGAGGGGGCAGTCCTCAAAAGTATTAGAACAAAAAGGCATAACTGGCCTGCATGATCTCATCACCTCTGTAGTTCAGAAGGCAGGTTCTATGAAATGTGGGACACAGCAGTGCCACCCACAGGGCATTCAAGGAAGTAAAATGTATGAGATTCTTTGAATATTAATCTGAATGATCTTGAGGTTTTAAAAATGACTGAGTAGGCTAGAACCAATTGAAATAGATATAATGTGGAAATTAATAGGTGTTTATGTAGCACCGACAATTGCACAGCACTTTACTTACAGTGCACTCACCTCACTCCTAAGGACCTTTCAATTTATTGTTCCTACGTGCCTCTCTCACACAATATTTGGACCTAATTAATCTACCAACATGTCTTTGGAGTTTGGAAAGACACCCACATAAAAGACCATGCAAACTCCATAAAGATAGTTTTCTGACTAAGATTCAAACTGGGAACCCCAATGCTGCACAATTTTAAACTTTGACCATAGATACATGTTCAAGTGGCAGTAATAGTACTGCTTAAACTACTTCCAGCCCTTGGGGGGGGGGGGGGGGGGGGGTGTGTGTGTGTGTAATTTTTTTTTTTTTTCCTCAGCTGGAAGTGGTTATACTAGAATCATGGGTGCAGCTATGATCATGGTATCAATATTTTCAGCTGAGGACCGGGTTTACTATAAACAGGGATCTGAGCAGCTATACAACCACCTGATCACTTTTACAGGGCTCAGGAGAGGCCCTACCTGCCTTCCCTCCACCCTCACAATAAATTGGGTATTGTGTTGTGTGCACCAAAATGCATTTTTTAGGTGTACTTTCTACCAAGAAATTGTGTTTTTATAAAAATGGCTGTAGAAATATAGTGTTACCAAAAAAAAAAAAAAAAAAAAAAAAAAAAAAAAAAAAAAAAAGGCCCGCTTTCAGAAAATATAGTTTGGGGATCTCAAGAACTTTTCTAGCAAAAGCAAATGCTAATTTTCATACATATGTGAAAAATTTCAAAAATTACCGTGGGCAGCAAGTGGTTAAAGTCCTGGCATCTTTTTTGGGCATTTATTGGAGAATACAACATTCAATGGAAAATCATTTGCTGCATAGATAACTCATTCACTAGCAATGATTCAATATGGCATGGGGTTTCCTGTACTATAAACCTCATTTATAATGTTACTTTTGTGAAAACACATTCACCTTACAAACTAACCTTCCAGTGCCAAAACTAGAAGTGTGCCGATTCTGCACTATGTAGGCTTGTCATCCTGCTGTCCAATGTATATCCCTAACTTGCTATCTCGAAGAGTAAGAGGCCCTTCAGCCAGTCAACCATGGCTCATCTGTTGCAGGAAACCGATCTTCTGTTTTTCCAGATTGTAGGTAAAGTTAGTGTGGAGGAGGCTCAATGTAAAGCCATTTTATATTCTAGTTTCAGAGCTTGTGCTTTTTCTGTACAAGTTGCCCCTTGAAGTGTAGGTTCTTGTACTGCTACCCACAAACTTTTTAATCTTTCTTGGAGCTTTAGAGCCCAAATGAGGTAGAACGCTTTGACTGTGCTGGGCAATACGCTTGCAGTTTTGTGCTTCAAGGCGAATGCCACTTTCTTTTCTCAACTCATACTTCTTGTGTAGTGTTTCCATAATATAGAAGCGGTTGCTGGGGACATCTCCCAAACTTAAAGCGGAGTTTCACTCACGCTGTCAAAAAATAAAAGTCAGCAGCTACAAAAACTGTAGCTGCTGACTTTTAAAAAACAGCCACTTACCTGTCCCTTGCTGTGTCCCCGCAGCCCGTTTCACCAGCCGTCCTGTATTCCAGGAGGCCGGCATCTACAGTGTGGGCATCCAGCTGTGATTGCTTGAGGCTTCACAGCCGGGTACTCACTGCGCATGCGCGAGTAGGGCTGCACTTCATGAATAGTCCCGTTTTCTGGGAGCTGTCACGTCCAAAAAGACCACAGGGAATGAGGACACCTTCCGCTTGCCTAGGCAATCGAAGCCGAAGTGGGAGCGGGTACCTGTCAAATTTTGGTACCCGCTCCCCCCCCCCCCCCCCCCCCAAAGGTGCCAATCCTTAATGGGGAGCAGTCCTTAAAGCGGAACTTCCCCTTTTGGGTGGAGCTCCGCTTTAAGTGTACATTCGTTCACTTCCCACAATTATGGCACAGTGGTAAGGGTTGAAAAACTTGCCCGATGGATGAAATGACCAATTGTTTGGGTGCCAGACAAAAGCAATTAATGTACAGATGTCACAGCAGAATGGACCAACTTTGCATTTGTGTCTTTTACAAAAATAGCTGACTAGCATCTGTGATACTTTATTTGCACTAACATTTTTCAGGACAAGTCCCTTCTTCAAAAGGCCCATGCAGTCCTTTTGAAGAGCTCAAAACCTGAAGCAAAAATTCACACAAGTAGGAGTCATAAGAGCAACTCTCCCCATCTCCTAATTTGAGAATAAAGACATTTTCTGGGAATATAATCCCAAGGACTGACATAACACAAAAGGATGTATGTATATTACACGTAAAACACACCAAACACATTTGTAGTGCTTTATTACAAAAAATGTAGACAATACAAACTGTAGTAATTGTAGGAACACAACAGTACTCCTTGAGATAAGACCCCCCACATATTAAACGCAACGCCAATATTGCAGAGAATTCACAAAAAAAAAAAAAAAAAAAAATTTTTTATATATACAGAACTACACATTTCGATTTGTGATCAAAGCCCAGGCCTCATATCCTCACAGCCATAATCCTTCGGTGATGCGGGAATTAATACGAACACTGGACTTGTGACAGGCACTCACCAAGAGTGTAGACTATGCCTGCCTTTTCTGCCTCCTCCTTCATTCATATAAGCTGTACTATAGCTTCCATCAATGAAGCATGAGCTGATGAACAATACACCTCCTCCATTGATAGAGCACTTCTCATTAATAGAAGCTATACACCCACCGGCCACTTCCATTAGGTACACCTGTTCAATTGCTAAGTAACACAAATTGCTAATCATCCATTCACAAGGGAGCAACACAATGCATTTAGGCATGTAGATGTGGTGAAGACGACCTGAAGTTCAAACCGAGCATCAGAATGGGGGGTAAGAAAGGGGATTTAACTGACTTTGAATATGGCATGGTTGTTGGTGCCAGACGATTTCAAAAACTGCTGATCTACTGGGATTTTCACACACAACCATCTCTAGGGTTTAAAGAGAAAAGTCAGAAAAAGAGAAAATATCCAGCGAGTGGCAGCTTTGTGGACAAAAATGCCTTGTTTATGTCAGAGGAGAATGGGCAGACTGGTTTGAGATGATTGTAAACCACATAACCACTCATTACAACCAAGGTATGCAGAACACCATCTCTGAATACACAACACTTCGAACCTTGAAGCAGATGTGCTACGGCAGCAGAAGACCACACCAAGTGCCTCCCATCAGCCAAGAACAGGAAACAGAGGCTACATTTTGTACAGGCTCATCAAAATGGACAATAGAAGACTGAAAAAAAAAAAAAAAAAAAAAAAAAAAAAAAAACTGTTGCCTGGTCTGATGAGTCAATTTCCCTAGAGATGGATGTACATAAAAATCCCAGTAGATCAGCAGTTTTTGAAATACTCAGACCAGCCTGTCTGGCACCAAAAACCATGCCACGGTCACAGTCACTTAAATCCCCTTTCTTACCCATTCTGATGCTCAGTTTCTGTTTGAACTTCAATAAGTAGTCTTCACCATGTCTACATGCATTGAGTTTCAATGTGATTGGCTTATTCGCAATTTGTGTTACCAAGCAATTGAACAGGTGTACCCAATAAAGTGGCCAGTGCATGTAGTACAGCTTCTATGAATGGAACTGGTGGTGATGCGGGCATAAATCGGCACTCTTGAAGAGTTTGACTTAACATAGCCTTTAATATGTCTTCAGTTCACTAAGAAGTTATTTCATCTAACTGTTCTTTCCCTTAAAATGTTCACTTTCAGTTTGTCGTTGTCTTTATCAAAACACTGACCGTGCTCCAAAAAAAAAAAAAAAAAAAAAAAAAAAAAAATTCCACATAAAGGGTCTGTGCTGATGGGAGACAGGTCAACTGCCTGTCAAATGGACCCATCATTGAACTGTGAATGGTATCAGAAACCCCTTGTATGGATTGCAAATGCAACTGGAATGTAATTGAAAGTAAGCTTCATGTGGCTACGGACACAGGCCCAAAGCTGTGAACTGGGTCTCTTATGAAACCCCTTGGCAGCCATTCATGCATGGCGGAGAACAAACCATTTTAGAACAAATGGCAATACAGGATTGAAATGTAGCTGAGAATAGTTCATGGCCTCTGCACTAGATGTCTGTACTGTCCATATAACATTCTGCGTCAATCCCATGCAAGGCATTTCATGTACAAAGGCCTACAGGAGGCATGCCATTGGCTCCAGATTGTCTCCAATCTAAATGCAGCAAGTACTCTGCGAGTGCTGCTAAGTTTTTATTGTGGGTCTGTACCAGAGTATATGCTGACCCATCAGCTGCCAAGTACCAAATGCCATTATAGTAAATCCAGAGAGCTCATCAAGCAAGAATCAAACTGACTGCTCAGGAGATCAGATGGTGAGGTCTCTAAACTCAATTCAAGGACTGTCGAAAGATTTCCTTAAGGTATCAAAATAATAAAGGAAGGCAATATACTAAACAAGAAATCCTACATGTTTTGCAGGTAGCACCAAGCACTGGAGACAGTTTTTTCTCCAAATACTGAAGCATCATGGAATTTGTAATTTTTCTTCTTCTTTGTGGTTCAGTGCTTTCAGTTCTAATTGCTTTTAAAGAGCCTCCCACTCTACACAAATATCACAAAACCCATGTATGATGTCAGCAAGGAGAGTAATAGGATGGGGGCTGAATCATTGGGGAAATATCCCTTCGCCTCCTGTCCCATAGCCAACACAGGAAGTAAGAGGAAATCCCTCCAAGAGTCAACAGAACTAGTAACCCCATTGAAAGATTTTCCCTATTCTTGTTCTACGGACAACCTAAAATTAGAGATTGTTTTCCCCACCATAAAAAAAAAAAAAAAAAAAAAAAAAAAAAAAAAAAAAAAAAAAAAAAATTTATATAGGATGATTCACTCTTTGTCCTAACGGGGGAACAGATAGAAACAAAAGCCTGACAGGTGTTGTAATCCCTCTCCAGAAAAAAGGCTTAGTTATACTTTAAGGGCTTTAAACCATTGTTTCAGTCTTCCTATACACACACCTGTTTTGCCTGAGATAAGCGATAGCACGGTAACCAATGTCTTTTCTGTATATCGCACCAGAGAACTGTACGGCAGCTACTCCTTTGTTGGCTTCCTCCAGAGCAGATATCAAGTTCTTCCTAATGGCGGTGACAGTGAGAACCCGTCCCACCGCTGGTCACCACCTTTCCATCCTTCAGAGCTGTGCCAGCATGAAACACTTCCAGACCAAGCTCTTTGGCTTGAGACAACCCTAAAAACAAAGAAGGATATAAAGGGTGATTTAGTAGAACTAGCAAAGAAAAGCTAAATGGGGCCAGTGCCCACTGCAAGCCAAAAATACATATAGCTATGGGAGGAGAAGAAAAAAAAAAAAAAAAAAAAAAAAAAAAACCCCCACACAAAGCTACTCTGCGATGTTACATTTTTCCTGAAAAAGAGCAATGCGGTACGAAGGTTGCATATTAGATTATTCTGTGGAGTTGTGTTTCTTCCCCATCTATCCTGCTGCTTCTTGATCATTACCCCACCAGTCACCAAATGGAGCAGCTGACATGAACAAGCAAAGTCTCGACTGCCTATCTTCAGGGCCGCCTGCACACAGTAGATCAGTAAAAGGTAAATCCGTAATGAGGAACAGATCAGCTGCGCAGGGAGACCACACTTCTATACTATCCAATACTGGTGGCTAGTCATTTGCCATCCGCTAGATTTTGTACTTACAAAGTAAAGATTAGAGTTGAAACGTAGTTTTCTTTTTTGGTGCCATGTACATTAGTTATGTACGCTGGTCACAAAAAATTAAAAAAGGAACACTTTGAAAATATATCATATCTCAATGGGGGGGGGGGGAAATCTCATGTTGGATATCTATACTGATATGGACTGGGTAATGTGTTAGGAACGCAAGGATGCCCCATCGTTTGATGGAAATGAAAATAATCAGCCTACAGAGGACTGAATTCGAAGACACCCCAAAAATCAAAAGGGGAAAAAAAAAAAAAAAAAAAAAAAAGTAGCAGGCTAGTCCATTTTTGTTGAAATGTATTTGCAGCAGCACAAGATAGTACTCAGTAGTTTGTATGGCCCACGTGCTTGTATGCAGGTCTGACAACATGGGGCATGCTCCTAATGAGACGACGGATGGTGTCCTGGGGTATTTCCTCCTAGATCTGGACCAGGGCATCACTGAGCTCCTGGACAGTGAGGTGCAACCTGGCGGTGTCGATGGACAGAAACAGGATATCCCAGAGGTGTTCTATTGGATTTATGTCAGGCGAGCGTGGGGGCCATTCAATGGTATCAATTCCTTCATTCTGCAGGAACTGCCTGAATACTCTCACCACGAGGCTGGGCATTGTCGTGCATCAGGAGAAACCCAGGATCCACTGTACCAATGTAGGGTCTGACAATGGGTCCAAGGATTTCATCCAGATACCTGTGCGTCCCTCCATGGATATGCCTCCCCAGACCATCATTGACCCACCACCAAAACGGTCATACTGAACGAGGTTACAGTCAGCATAATGTTCTCCACGGCTTTTCCAGGCCCCTTCACGTCTGTCACATGTGCTCAGGGTGAACCTGCTCTCATCTGTGAAAAGCACAGGGCTCCAGTGGTGGACCTGACAATTCTGGTGATCAATGGCAAATGCCAATCAAGCTCTATGGTGCCAGGCAGTGAGCACAGGACTCACTAGAGGACATTGGGTACTCAGGACACCCTCATGAAGTCGGTTTCTGATTGTTTATTCAGAGACATTCACACCAATGGCCTGCTGGGGGTCATTTTGTAGGGATCTGGCAGTGCTCATCCTGTTCCTCCTTGCACAAAGGAGCAGATACCGGTCCTGCTGATGGGTTAAGGACCTTCTACAGCCCTGTCCAGCTCTTAGAGTAACTGCCTGTCTCCTGGAAACTCCTCCATGCTCTTGAGACACAGGAAACCTTCTGGCAATGGCACATATTGATGTGCCATCCTGGAGAAATTGGATTGCCTGTGCAACCTATGTAGGGTTCAGGTATCGCCTCATGCTACCATGAGTGACACTGACCCTAGCCAAATGCAAAACTTGTGAAAAACAGTCAGTAAAAAAAAATTTGTCAGTGGCCTCCACCTGTTAAACCATTCCTGTTTTGGGGGTCATCTCATTATTGCCCATCTAGTGCACCTGTTAATGAAATTAACACCAAAAGCAGCTGAAACTGATTAACAACCCCCTCTGCCACTTAACTGACCAGATCAATATCCCAGGAGTTTCACTGACCTGATGCTACACTCTGCTCAAAAAAAAAAAAAAAATTAAAGTAACACTTTTTAATCAGTGTACAAATGATGTGTATCATTACCTGCAGAAGACTGCTTCTGATAAAAAGCCTGCAGATATTGCTTGGAGTAGTTATCCTTTGGCGCTGTGATAATTAAGAGCAGACACTGCTACTGAAAAAAGTTGCACCACTCATGCCACCCCCTTTTATCCTTTATGGCATTCACATAACTAAATAGCAGGATCTCCACCTCCCATCCACAAGAATGCTATGCTTCATGAAGAGTAGTGTGAACTATAGAAAAGGCAGAAGGGGGCAGGTGAGCAGTGCAACTTTTTTCAGTAGCAGTGTCTGCTGCTCAGGGTAGTATCTAGCATCCTCTGAAGGGAGCACTTTAACCACCTTCCGCCCGCCCTATAGTACAATGACGGGCGCAAGGTGGTTCTCTCGTTCTGATAGGACATCATATGACGTCCTAACATTCTCACTGCGCATGCGCGGCTCAGGGAGCGCGCAGCGATCGCCGGTGCGCTGTGCCCCTCGGACACAGCGGATCACGGAAAGAGCCGAAGATGTCGGCTCGGTCCTGTGATCAGCTGTCCAATCACAGCTGATCACATGTAAACACGGAAATGCCGGTTATCGGCACTTCTCTCCTCTCGAGCTGTCACACTGACAGCTCGAGAGGAGAACCGGTAATCGGCTTTCCGCGGAGGGGACATGTACACTGATCATCAAAGTACTGATGATCAGTGTGGCCCCAGAAGTGCCACGTGCCAATGTCCATCAGTGCCACGTGCCAATGTCCATCAGTGCCACGTGCCAATGCTCATCTGAGCTGCCTTTCAAGGTCACCCAGCAGAGCTGCCAGTCAGTGCCACCCAGCAGAGCCATATATCAGTGTCACCTATCAGTGCCATATATCAGTGTCACCTATCAGTGCTGCCTTTCAGTGCCCATCAGTGATGCCAGTCAATGCTCATCAGTGCAACCTACCAGTGCCTCATCAGTGCCACCTATCAGTGTAGCCTATCAGTGCCCATCACTGCAGCCTCATTAGCACACATCAGTGAAGGAGAAAAATCACTTTACAAAATTGTAAAACAAAAAAAGTTTTCAAAATTTTCAGTGGTTTTTGGTTTAAGAAAAAATAAAAATCCCAGAGGTGATTAAATACCACCAGAAAGAAAGCTCTGTCTCAAAAAGATGATAAAAATTTCATATGGGTGCAGTGTTGCATGACCACGCAATTGTCAAAGTGTGACAGCGCTGAAAGCTGGAAATTGGCCTGGGCAGGAAGGGGGTATAAGTGCCCTGTAGGCAAGTGGTTTAACACAAGCAGCTGTCTGCAGGTAATGGGATACACACCAATACATGTAACTAAAATTTGTTTTGTGCTGTACCTCCACCCCCAAAAAAAAATAAACAATTCAGTTTCAACTTGAACGAAACTCTGGCATGAAAAGGTTTCCATTAACCTGTGAAGGGCTGAGATGCTGCACCAACATGACCCATGCGAGGCAAGAGAAAAACACAACACACACACACACACACACACACACACACACACACACACACCGTGTACTTGATACAAATTCTCACCTGTTATTTCCAGGCCTTTGGCATAGCTTCCAGGATAACCACCGCTAGCCATAACTACAGTAACAGCAGCATAGTCCTTCAGCCACACTGGCATAGAATCGGCAAGGCGTCCATCTAGAGTGGTCTGGATAACTTCATATAAGTCACTCTGAAGAAGTGGCAGTATCACCTTGAAAACAGAGTTAAAGTACTTTAAAAATGTTATTCCCATGTGAACTACACACGTAATGGGAGAGATTGCCTTTTTACAGGAATTGGCTTTTACATTACAAAGTGTTTTGCATTTGTCTCCTACCTCACTTCAGCCAATATAATCTACATGCCTTATCTTAAAGCAGACTTCACATCAGATATTTTTTAGGTCAATGCATCCATGCTAAGTAATGTATTTGTTAGCTCCTAGAAGACACATTACTCCCCCCAGATAATGCCTTCATCTGCTTTTACCTCCAGTAAGATGGAGCCATCTTTATCATCCACCATAAACACTATGGACTGAGATGCCAGCTCACAACCCTGGTGCCCATGCTTGGTTTTTACAAGTGTAACACAGATCAGCCCCAGCTACAACCTCCTACATTGTATAACACAAGATACACTGTTTTAGTCTGATAACTGGTGGCAGACAAGATAGAGATGTCCTCCTGCTTGCAGAAGTCTGATGAAATCACCTTGGCCTAGTCAAAAAGTCATCTGACTGGAGCTCAGACTGCTTTATGAAAAAAGGTTTTTTGAAAATGATAATAGTGCGACATGTCAAGGATTCACTCAAGGCAATTTGTAAGTTAGTGAGAGGTGAACTTCAAATAAAATACCCATATAACAACCGACAGCAGCCAGATATCCTTCGTTCAGAAAAATTCAGATAGTCATAGTGATGTTCTGATTGGCTGCTACAACGCCTATTGTAGTTTTAAATGATTTCTGTATTCCATAAAAGATAAGTACAAGCAGGGGTTACTCATTCACACACCTGACATTCCGGATCTCCAAATCGGCAGTTAAACTCGAGCACCTTAGGTCCATCTTTAGTAAGCATAATTCCAGCATAGAGAACACCTGAAAAAACACATACAGAAGTCTGTCAGCACCACCTAAAAATAAAATGTGTCAGGCATTTTAGATAACATACAAATACAGCAAGACATCCATTATTACAGTCAAAGTCCCTTTAACAACCTGCTCTGATTTAATGCCCCACTCTAGGCAAAGGGAACACAAGGAGAAAAAAGAAAAAAAAAAAAAAAAAAAATCAAGTCTAGGGGTAGAGTAATATGGTTTAATAATGACCATTTAGCTTGCTCAAGCAGGCTTCCTCCATGCTGTGAAACCAGTCCCCCTGAAGTCTCTTCAGGCTGTTACACACAGATATCATGAATTATACTGAAGGACCAATAGTCCTGCATTGTACATGAGGACCTGCCCACAACCTTGAGTATCAAGGAGAAGAGCGCCAGTATAACGAGAAAAAAAAAAAAACCCCACACTATTACACCTTATTCTTCCACCCCCTAGACTTCACATGCATTTGACCCTGCTAGTAGGAGAGGGGGCGCTGCAAGAGTTTTTTTTTTTTTTTTTTTTAAAATAGAGAGTATAACTTTTGGATATTAGAATTTCAGTAGTCTTAGTCATCAGTAGGAAACCATGCTGTTTCCTACAAGTATCTAAATTACATGGACCTCACCTATATACGGCGTTCCATCTTTTCGAATTCCATCTACGGCTTTCTGCAGCACAGTGTCCCGGATTTCCACACATAATCGCTCAGATATCTGAACAGTACCATACAAGAGTTAGAGGATTTTATGCGGTTTCAATAAATATTCAGTTAGCAGCTAGTGCATATTGTTGCAGAAGCATTTCCCAGTCCATACCTGGGGTGCAGGGCAGTAAGCTCCCATCCCTCCTGTGTTAGGGCCTTGATCCCTATCCATCAGTCTTTTATGATCCTGGGCTGGAGGCATGGGAGCAACAGTGACCCCATCTGTGAAACAGAGGCACTGTAACAGAAAATCCAGCATTTCAGTTTATGTCACAGTAACCGAGAACAATGTTTATTTATTACAGGCGTTTCTATAGCACAGACAATTTATGCCACACTTGCACATTCAGATCAGTCAATGCCCTCGAGGAGCTTACAATCTAGGGTTCCCATCTCACAATCACACATAGATATATACTTGGGTCAATTTAACAGGAGCCAGTCAACCTATGAGTATGCCATTGGAGTATGGGACGAAACCATAATATCTAGAGGAAATCCATGCAAGCACAGGGAGAACATGCAGACTATGTCCTCACAGGGATCCAAATCAGTGACTCCAGTCCATCAGGGCAGATATGCTAACCACTAAATGACGGACTATGCAGCCCATTAATTACATTTAACATGTTTAAGACATGCTACAATTACCCACACCCCAGTTGCAGTCTAATTATGCATGCCCCTGATCTACCTGTATGGTCATCTACAGCAGAGAGCGTCTCTATCAGCTACACTTCTACAGATTTGAAATTAAAGACAGAATGACTTCCCAGAAACTATTAAAATACACTAAGCAGTAGATGCAACAATCCCATGACAGCATGATGCTTGAAATCACTCCTAGGCATCATGCACACAGGTGCCTAGTGGGGTACAAAGTATAATTCGGGCACACTTCCCTGCTCGAGCAACATGTGCTGCATACAGCCACCCACAAAAATCATTGGCTGTACACTGGTCTGTGTCCAGGGGCACAGAGCTGTACACATGCGCAAATTTATGCAAATACTGGCTTATAATCACACACACAGCCATCTATTTCTATGGGCTGCTGTATGCATCCCCTATGGCTCAGAGGTGCAGAAATATAGTTGTTCCACCCTGGGAGACCATGTGCATGAGGCCTTAAAAACATGACTGGAATGCAAAGGTTTTCTACAGGACAGCACTGTAACTGATTGTTGTAGCTTGCTTCCAGCATGGAGGCTAAATCCCTGTACTATATGACTGGACACAGAGGTTCCAACACTGTATACTGCAGGACGCCACAAGAGAAATTAGAAACAAAAACCATTACACAGACAACCTATGATACATACGGAAACTTCTTCACCCTCCAGTAGCTCCTCCACTACTACAGTCTCCCCAGCTTCTCCAAATGCCTTATCCTATAGGAATAAGCAGACAAAGTCAATCACAGGAAACACATTTTAAAAAATTTTGATAACAAACACGTAGGCATGCCACACTGCAATATATACTGTAGGTCTGCCAATATAATGAGATAGGATAGATTTGATTTGTATAATCAGGTAGAAAAATAGCGGATAATCAGTGATTATCGATTTTGGAGCATCTAAACACCAATATCAACCGTGGAATTCTCTCATGTTTGAGTGCAACTGTTTGCAATTAAGGATCAAAACAGTTTTGGAGAATAAACCAAATCAATGCACAGGTGTTTGGCATTAAAACAGCACACAACAGGCTCATTCACACCATAAGCATGCATAAAAAAAAAACTCCTGGGGGGAGGGGGGGGGGGGGACCCAAACCCCACAAGACCCATTCTCTGCATTGTGTAAAAATGGCTGTTTGATCCGGTCTTCTCTGATCCTCCCCTTGTGCTAATGTCCCCGACTCATCTCCTGATAGAACAGAGCCTTGGGGGCAAACGACACATGCTCAGTTTGGTGTGTTTGCTAGAGGTTCTTTTCTTTTTCCCCTGGGAGAGTGCATGTAATTGGCAAAAGGACCAATCAGCACTGCCCAGACAGAGTCAGGGGTCCTACATCCTCAGGACAGTAAGAGGAGAATGAAAAATCCTCCTACAAGCTTTAACCAGTGCTCTGCTGGGCACAAGAAGTCACAAGACTGCTCTAACTGCTGATAAAAAAAAACAAAACAAAAAAAAAAACACAAACAAAAAAGAAAACATTTAGCAGTTTATATTTGCGAAAATAATTACATTTCCATGTTATGTGTACTGTGGGAGACCAGATATAATGAATGCAGGGTCCTGGGTATAGGAACATTTTACGATCGGTATTTAGCATGCAAGATACATAAACACCAGCCCACAAAGATACTCAAAAATAGACAGCTCACAGTCAGCACAAACTACCAATGAAAGCCCATTATTCACAAGTGCTGTGATCTTTAGAAGAACATTACAATAAGTTACCACCAAGTAGTAACAGGTACTCATGAACAATAATTTACCACCAAGTAGTAACAGATGCTCATGAACATCAGAAGTGCACATGTAAGTGAAAGTATTTGTTGAACAGATTTTATAACAATGTGGGAAATATTTCTGACCAATGTACAAAGTTTCCATTTTTTCTCTTGTAATGGTAAGAATTCTTTAACTGGGTGTAACGATTGATTTTAAAGATCAATTAAAATTGGTTTATAAAGTTGTAGCAAACTGAGCAATAAGAGGGTCAAAACATAAGAGTTCCATTAACCTTCCATCAACTCTACCCCTGGATACAGAAAGTCTTATTTTATGGGCTTACTCCATACATTGAAAATACCACCATTTCTTACCTGCATAATCTCATTAACAGCTTTACAAGCCTCTTCCTTGCTGCTGGCCACTATCACTCCCTTTCCAGCTGCCAGGCCACTTGCTTTGACCACCAGGGCCTGGAAGTCAGCACTGTAGAGACAGACAAGAGTAATAGGACCTCCAGTTAACTCTGAAGCCTTGTATGTACAGTATAAATAGGTTGAAAGGAAAAATGATTCTATTGTAACCGCATCATCTCTCTGTAAGAGCAATTTTTGGAAACCCTGATTTGGGTATATACAGCCTGTTATAACACACTCACACTCACACTCTCTCTCTCTCATTTCAAGTGAGGTGGAGTCTCCTTGATCCTATTTATGGTAATATATTTTTTTACCCTTATATTTATTCTATTCAGGTATTTTGTTTGATACTCATGATTTATGTCTATACATTCTTAGAACCACTTGCTATTGTGGATTCATTTCTATTTGGGGTGGTCACCCAGGAAGGCCCTACATTCATCATTTTTTCATGATGGTTAAGCTCATGAGAAGGTAATGGAACTACTACTTAGCCTGGCTATCTTGCTTAAGTACATGATCTGGGTATATATTATTCTTTATATGTTTCCACTACCATGATCCTTCTTTGGTTTCCTTTATAGGAAGTCATTCCGTTTATTGTGGCGTTTACCAAAGAATATCTTTGAAGAATGATCTCCCTATCCAGATACTATGTGGAACCATATGGAACTCTATGATCATGTAGTTAGGAAACTTCATTGCCTTATGTGGATTCCTGCTTGCCGATTATTAACCAGGATTTGAAGATGCCGAATGTTTAACTTTTATTATGATTTGTTCACCATGTCTATGTCTAACCTCTTCATGATCCATGTGATCAAATAAAATATTTTTGTAGCTATTTAATGCAGTTATATTACTCCGCATGGATTTTCAATTAACCACTTTTTGCAGGCAGTGCTGCTCTGGTCATACTGCCATATTTTCAACTCTGAAGCCTTGTATGTACAGTATAAATAGGCTGAAAGGAAAAGGATTCTATTGTAGGGACTTTTGGCAACTATGAATTTTACCATTCCACTTTGTGTACTTTGATAACTACCTAGTGATAAAGTCACAAGCTTCTTTAGGGTCAGTGAAAGATTTCCACTTTGCTGTTGGAATGCCATGTCGGTCCATAAAGTCTTTGGCAAAACTTTTACTAGCTTCCAGCTGAGCCGCCTTTGCAGTGGGACCAAAACCTCTCACTCCAGCTGCCCTCAAATCATCCACCAGACCTGGAGATAAAAAAAAAAAAAAAAAAAAGGAAGAAGGGGGAGGAAGAATCATCAAGTTAAGTACGTGCAAATGCTAAAAAGTGGGAGGAGGTTGCTGGGGGGAAAAAACAAAACAAAACCACCACACACACACTTTGCAGTGTAAGAAGCATTACCTGCAGCTAAAGGAGCTTCTGGCCCGACAACCACCAAAGCTATGTTGTTGTTTTTTTTGCAGAACTGTGTGACCTGAGCATGGTCTCCAACTGGGACATCTGTAGTAATAAAGGAAAGTTAGAATACACCATCAGGCATAACCAGGACCATGAACAGAATTCCTAGATTTTTTTAAAATTTGTCCTCAACCATAAAAGTTGTGAATTTTGAGGTGGGCTGAAAAATGCTCACATCTCAGCATGCCGAGCTCACTCACATAAGGTTGGTTACAGAACAAATACACGTCACAAAAAAAAAAAAAAAAAAAAAAAAAAAAAAAAAAGTAATTCAGCATTACTGTATTATATACTTCAATAGGCTGATAGCTCATCTATGCCAAAATTTTAATTATTTCTACCAAGGTCACAAGGTTGACTGAATGGGCATGTGAGAGGCACATGTCCTCTGAAGGATATGAACATCAAATCTAGCTGCATTGAGGGCTGAAAACCCTCTACACTACACTGAGAATTAAAAAAGAAAAAAAAAAAAAAAAAAAAAAAAAAAACAACACACCCCACACATGCATCTGCATAAACAAACTCTTCCACCAATTATCCCCATCACCCTTACACAGTTTTGTCCTTTACAGATCTTATTGTACACCTCAAACTCTTTAAAAATTTGCCCAACACCCAGATGCCTCCTGCCCAGGCCGTGATCCATCTCTATGCACCCTTATACATAAGCTTTGGAGAAGCCCAAAAATTTCCTTAAATATTAAGTCCTAACCACCATAAATAATTCAACCCTCCATGCCGGGCTTTATGGAGGAGGAATGGATACCCTCTGCAGTACCCATACAACATTTTTTTTTTCAGCCAGCAGTGGATCGCCCCTTTGCCCCCAACTTGTATGGGCTGGTTAAAAACCACCAATACTACTCTAACAAGAGAAACTGACATACACTAAACGTGGCTGCCCAACCAAGTTTGACAAGCTATGGGCAGACTGGCTGGGCATGTCAAAAATAGCCAGTACGTCACAGATTTTGAACAGTATTTTTGCTTGACGCAGTAGTGAGTGTCCAACTCAGCTTGGGAATTGGATACTGGTGATCTTGTGGTGCCTATACCCCTTTCTCTGGTACTCCTGGTATTCTCAATCACCAGTATATGGGACTGAAATAATAGTGGTAGACATCACCCATCTAGACTGCTTTGACATAAGAATTCTGTAACAAGTGAAATCAAACTTTATTATTGTGCTACATGATCCCCTGGGCCACAACAGTCATCCATTAAAAAAAACAAAAAACAAATAGTTATTCTGTATACCATATGGCGTTAACCAGCATGTATTTGTACTTGGTTACATGGCTGTCATATTTTCTTTTTTTAAGAGTAACCCACTGTTGGAAAGCTTGTGGGAGGATAGGGGGAGGGCAGGGGTTCTTGTTGGGGTAAAAGTGGGGATTTTTATTTTGTTTGTATACCCAACTAAATCAATAAAAATTCTCTGATTTATGGCTGGGACCTGCTGATCAGCTTAGTGAATGACAGTACAGAGCCCTGTGTTGACAAACAACAAAGGTGCTGTACAGACAGCAGTGATGTGGCTTAGTAAAAGCAGCACACATTACATATTGTTAGGCACACCATTAACCCTTTGATTACCCCTAGTTAACCCCTTCCAAGCCAGCATCAGTACAGTGACAGTGTACAGTATCAGCGCTGATCATCTTTAGATTGTAAGCTCCATGAGCCGGGCCCTCCTATTCCTTCTGTACTGAAATGTATTGTAATTGTATTGTCTCCTTTATATTGTAAAGCGCTGCGCAAACTGTTAGCGCTATATAAATCCTGTATAATAATAATCACTGTATTAGCGTCACTAATGTCGTCAGTCATTTCCCACACAGTATCAGATCACCATTACTAGTATAAAAAAAACCAAAAAAAAAAAAAAACCACTAACTCTAAACACACACAAACTTTTGTACCAAAAGAAAGTTTTGTGTGAAAAAAAAATTAAATTTAATTTGGGTACAGTGTTACATGACCGTGCAATTGCCAGCTAAAGTAGCTCAGTGCCAAATAGCACACACACAAAATACCCTGGTCATGAAGGGGAAGGGGAAGGGGAAGGGGGGGGGGGGGGGGGGGGGGGGGGGGTGTAAAACCTTCCGGGGCTGAAGAATAACTGGACTCTGTCCTTTTGCCTCTTTTTTGAACAGTATCCAATGAACTAGTCACCAGTATTGCCTGCATTTTCACTGTAGCTGATCTTTCCCTATTACCGACATACAATTCTTGCTCAGTACTGCCTCTGTGTTGAGGCAGACATCTTGGTAGAGGCAGGCAATGGCTTCCTTAGGTCAGAGCTGCCAGAAGGAGAACAGCCAGTAGGACATCACCAAATGTCACTTCGCATCTTCTGGGACTGGCAGTCAGAGGTGTTAGATCTCACACCGCAGATATCTAGCTACAAGGCTGTAGGTATGGGAAGCACCCACATATACCATAGAAAGAAAAAAAAAAAAAGGGAAGCACTGCTTAGGCACAATTAACATTTCTAAATGTTCATTAAAACATCTTCACTTTATAAGTCCAGGTTCACTTTAAGGAGCTCCAATCAGTGGGACACTCAGGTGTGGTAGAGGTCAGGACAATCTGATAGCTTTAATACTTTATAAATCAATGACTTATTACAGCTATGCAAAAAAAAAAAAAAAAAAAAAAAAAAAAAAAGGATTCACTAAGGCTTTGAAGTCCACGGACAGGTTACAGTAAGCAAGAAGGAGCAGACCAGCCTTTGACTTTTCCAAAATTGAGGGTTTGCAGATTGTAGAACCCTGGAATTTGGGGGCCCTTAGGAAGACAGGTGAAGGTGCATACAAACTCAGGGTTGTCCTGGCATTTCAGTTTTGAAATAATCGCACACTCATGTCACCTGTCAAGAGGGCCATCTACCTGTCAAAGCCTAGTCCCTCACTTTTGAGCACTCTAGGGCTCATTTTTGCACCACAAATCTTAAGGCTTTAGAACCACTTTAAGCTGGCCAAACACATGTAGATTTCAGTTTCACCCCCCTGCTCCAGAGGCAGCTAAATACCTGGAGAGTACCTGTTTCTGTTGGATGCAGGCGCTTTTCAGCCAAATAATTTCCTCACCTCCTCCTTTAACAAAAAAGTTAATCGAAAGGATGGGAAAGGGGGGGGGGGGGGGGGGGGTTTGAGAGAATGCTGACAGGGTCACCCAGAGCTTAGATTTTGGTCATTGTAGCAGGTTCCAAATTACAACCACCAAGGCCTCTTGAGCCACAAGCTGGTTCACTTCTATTCTATCAACAACTTTAGAACCCTTCATGGTTTCATAATCTAGAATTTTATAGTGGATGTTTTTTTGAAGACCAGCTACACCATAAACAACATTAGACTTAACCCCTTGATGCTGACGCAACACAAATGTGCGGCCTCATGGAACTGGGCTTTTTTCCGTGGGGCCACATATTTGTGTACCTGTCTTTGTGCTGGGAGCGTGTCGCACGGTGCCCTCACAGCACAAAGACTGCGGTGACACAGAGCCCCGGGTCCCATTCTAACGAACGGGACCTGGGACTCCCGATTCCGGGTCACATGATCGCTGTGATAGAATCTGATAGGCCATCACAGTGATCAGTCACTGTACAGCCCAGCCACCTTGTTTTTCTCTCTCTATGAATATAGAAGAGAGATACATTGTATCTCTGTAACTCCTGGCATAGAGGGGAAAAAAAAAAAAATAAAGTAGAAAAATTCCTTCATCAAGGTTTGATCTAGTTCAGGGCCAGGGTTAGTGTTTGGACAAAGGTCAGGGTCAAAGGTCAAAAAAAAAAAATTGGTGTCAGTGTTTTAAGGAAAAACAAAAATGCGCACTGTTGTTTCTGGGCTGTACTACGGGTACAAATAACATACATATATGGTATCGCTGCGATCGTCAAGAGCTGGAGAATTTATTTTGGGTTGTTCTTTGGTGGTAGGTTATGGTAGTAACAAAAAAACACAGCTAAATAAACAAAACAAATAAAATAAATTTGTTTTACTATTTTGGGCCAGTTTTCCTTGGATTATATCTATCTATCTGGGAGATATCCATTATCATTTACCACCAAATGAAAGCCCAATTTGTCCTGAAAAAAAAGAACAAGGTATAATTCACCTGGATGTACAAAGTAGTTGTGATATGTACGGTTTTACTAACACATGTCAACGTAGCAAAATTGTGCTTGGGCATTTAGATTTGTTTTACTCAGGCGTGAAGGGGTTAAGGAAGAAAAAACCAAAACCAAAACAAAGACACAGAAGTGTGAAAAAGGGGCTTTCAAGTCATTGTTGGCACTGTGTATCAGATGTGGGTCTTACCAGAATTTGTGATCTTCCCATTGTTGGCAGTACCCGCGTTTCCTGGTGCCACGAGGACTTGTTTCACATGGGCAGACTGTGCAAGCTTCCAGGCTAAGGCATGCTCTCTGCCACCACTGCCAATCACCAGAACCACTTCCGCCATCTCTGAAAAGTTCAAAACAGGTTAGTGGGAGCAAGTCTTTGGGTGGGCTAGGTTTTCCTGATCCGATAAGAAAGTATAAAAATGTCTGAAAGTACCATTATGCAGACCATGCACAAAAGGCAATTTCAATCATTATCGACTTTCCATAGTCCGATTATCAAAGCAGAAAGGGATGACCAACCAACATCTCCATGCTGGCAGATTGCCTCAATTTGTTTAGATATTTTTATGATAAAAAGCGGTGTGGAATTGGTTGAAAAAGGTCTGAAAGTTGTCATGTATCCAGGTACAGCCAATAGTAGTTGGCCACATTTATTTGGGCTTGGTTTTGAATGTTGATAGTGAACTACTACTACTTGATATACAATGACCTAGATGAATGTGACCAACTACTACTAGCTACTGTATACCATGACCTAGATGTTTGGGACCCACTACTTCTAGCTATACCATAATCTAGATGAATGCGACCAACTACTACCAGCTACCCCGTGACATAGATGAATGTGACCAACTACTACTAGCTATACCATGACCTAGAACAGGGGCATCAAGCTGGCAGCCCTACAGCCGTTGCAAAACTACAAGTACCATGAGGCAGAGGCACGATGGGACTTGTAGTTTCGCAACAGCTGGAGGGCCGCCAGTTTGACACCCCTGTCCTAGATGAAAGTGACCAGCTACTGCTAGCTATACCGAGACCTAGATGAGTATGACCCACTACTTTTAGCTTTACTATGATTTAGATGTGTGACCAATTACTACTAGCTATATCATGTGTCCACCTACTACTATCTATATCATGTGACCCTCTACTACATGACCTAGATATACATGTGACCCACTAATAATCATGAGCTAGATGAGTATGATCCACCACGACTAGCTATACCATGATGTAGATGTGTGTGACCAATTACTACTAGCTATACCATGACCTAGGTCAGGGGTCTCCAAACTATGTCCCCTCCATGTGTTGAGGAACTGCAAATCCCATGAGTCCTTGCAAGACTGAAAGCCACAGGCAAGACTCCCAGAGGCATGATAGGACTTGTAGTACATCAACAGCTGGAGGGCCATAGTTTGGAGACCCGTGACCTAGTATTCATACTAGCCATACCATGACCTAGATAAATGTGACCAACTACTATTGGCTAGAACATGATCTAAATAAATGAAAAACACTCAACCAATTAGAGAGCAAGTCCAACTGAATGTAACCAACTACTACTAGCGGACTTGGTTAAAACAGAATAAAGTTGGCTCTTTTACCAGAGTTAAGGCATATGAGAGATTCTTGTACCAAAAGGTGCCGACTCCACACACTTGCTACAAAGGTATCTCAGCCTTACCACTGAACCTTCCATTTACTGTACATTGTAAGAAATACCGCTGTAGGAGTGAGACTCCCTCACTTGTCCGCATCAACACACAGCACAGGCGTCCATGAGATAACAGCCAGGAAGGGAGATTGGGTGACTGGTCCCAGCTGTGTCTACCAACTACCAAACATTCAAAAATCAGACTTTGTACTACTCCGTCCACCGCAGCAAAAAACAAAAAAAAAAACAAAAAAAAAAACCCCATTCTCCCCCCTCAAAACGTATTTATTTAGGAATAAATTCTCTGCTGTGTTAGCATGCAAATATCAGCCGTTTTGATCAAACAACACACAATTCTTCTGTAATCTGTATGCCGGGCCTGCAGTATCTGCTATTGGCACAAAATATATTTTAGACTGATCCCAATAGCCAAGAGAAACACAACGCATGGTTTTCTCTAGAACACAATCATTTTGAAAACGCTTTGCTGCAGAGCTTGCATGGCCTGGCCTTTCATTCTCAAAATGGTATTGGAGAGCTGCGCTGTACTACAAATGCAATTGTGAAATTGTTACTGCTATTATATGGTGTTAGAAATGCTTTTCCCGCTGATCTTCAAGTTTACTGGTTAAATGGGACTTTATCACCTGGTCTGTCCGGGACAAATGGACAGGTTCTCTTGAAAGCCGCCAACCAAACGCTAAAGACTTTTTGCATCTCTCTTGCTATTGAGCTGGTATGTGGGTGTCAGCCACATGTAAGCTGCAGGTGGTGTCCGTAAATGGTTTAAAATCTCCTCTTAAATCCATGCAGCCGCTCCTACACACATGTCTAATTTTGACATGTGGCTGTCTGTGCATCCACTTTCTTAGATTGCCTGCACATAGCTCCAGGCCAGTTGCAGAAAACTGACTCAGCATGCATAAGGAGTGTCAATGTCCATCTGAATGAGCCCTTGAAGTAAAGGGCTTCACTGTAAAGAAGCCCCCTTCCATGAGACCTCTGACAGCAGAATGCAAGTATAACTGAAGGATTTATTTTTTTTTTTTTTCCCCCTAATATTTGGGTAGAGTAGTGAGAGGGCAAGGGCATTATACCACTATAGTCAAAGCTGTACAGTCTGTCCTGACTTGTTGCTAGGATGTTACTAAGACACTCCCGGCTGCTACTGTTCACCTCTACCATAACAGGAGCAAGTTCTCAAACCCCCTACACAAGTGTGGACCACTGTCTCCTCGGTCACAACAACAGTGACCTACTGAACAGGGGAGCAAGACCGCATGTGAAGAGGTTTGAATTGGCTGGGAGTCTCCTAGCAATAAGGCAGGACAGGATGAGGCCATCTCTGGGAGTTTTTGGCCAGGCTTCATGAGGTAAGCAAATGGCCTACACCTATAGCAAAGGCATCATTCAACTTTAGTCAAAGGCTGCACAGTCTGTTTTAGGGCCCTTTCACACTGGAAGACTCTGTCAAGTGGATCTACCTGCTCAGCGGGGGATCTGTCCACTAATCCCTGCTGAGCAGACCAACGATGGGCCATGTCCACTCCACTTGTGCAAAGAGGACACGGACACAGCCAGCTGTTCTCCATGGGTGGTCAGATGTAAACAGACTGCCTTTCTGCTTACATCCAACTGTCATCCGATCCATTCCACTAGATCAGGGGTCTCCAAACTATGGCCCTCCAGCTGTTGAAGTACTACAAGTCCCATTATGCCTCTGCGAGTCTTGCCTGTGGCTGTCAGAGTCTTGCAAGGCCTCATGGGACCTGCAGTTCAACACCTGGAGGGCAAACGTTTGGAGACCCCTGCACTAGATAGATGGGGGAATGGATCCCCCAGCTGTCTGTTTTTAGCAGATCGGATGCAGGCTGGAATAAACCTGCATATGCGCCTCCTTGTTCCTTGAGAACAATGTATGGTCTCAGTTGGGTCCTCCTGAAAAACAGATCGGTCCACTCATGTGAAAGGGCCCTAAATACTAGGGAGTGCACTAGGTAGTTCATTGATTCTTCCTGTCATTCTGTAAATACCTTCCCTGCATTGCACCCACAATCTGCTGATCACAGGTGCAATGCTTTACAGGCTCCGACAAAGAAAAAAAAAAAAAAAAAAAAAAAAAAAGCATATATATTTTTTTTACCTGCATAAAGATGTGCATTCATTATTTATTTTAATTTTTTTTTTTTTTTTTTTTTTTTTTTTTTTAAAAGGTTAACTTATTCTTTAACCACTTCCAGATATACTGCTACAGGGTGGCATGATTGCGCAAAATCACGTGTGTGAGAGATTGTGTGTATGTATGTATACACACACTTATAAATATACACACACACACACACACACACACACATATATACACACACACACACACACACACACACACACACACGATTTTGCATTTCCAGGTAGGGGACGTACATGCTGCGCCCTACCCACACCATCAGTCGTGGCTGTCAATCACCAGGTCCCGGCCAGAGATTACTTGCCGGCGCCTGGTGATTGCCAAGCATCTCTGATGGGGAGGAGAACTGTTTGTAAACAAAACAGTTCTCTCCCCCTGTCAACTCCTTCACACTGCTTTGGATGGCTGTGGACAGCACAGCCATGCAAAGTAGTGATTACAGTGAAGCACAAACACAGGGCGAAATAGTAAAACACACCCAGCACAGTTAACACTTTGATCACCCCACATGTTAACACCTTCCTCCCCAGTGTCATTAGTACAGTGTCAGGGTTTTTCTTTTAGCGCTGATCACTGTGGATATCAGTGACACCAACCCAGTTCCCCCCCCCAGTGTCAGAATGCCCGCTGTAGTCCCGCAATAAGTCGCTGATCGTCACCATTACTAGTAAGGAAAAAAATAAAAAATATCAAAAGTATATATACACTGCCATTTGTAAACGCTATAACTTTCACATAAACCAATTTACACATATTGGGAAGATTTTTTTTTTTTTTTTTTTTTTTTTTTTTAGCAAAGACAAGTAGCAGAACACATTTGGGCCTAAATTTATGAAAAAAAAATTTGATTAAAATTTTTTTTACTGGACATTTTTAATAGAAAAAAAAAAAAAAAAAGTCAAATATTGTTCTCAAAATTGTCGGTCTTTTTTTTCCTCTTATAGCGCAGAAAATAAAAACTGCACAGGCGATCAAACACCACCAAAAGAAAGCTCAATTTGTGGGGGGGGGGGGGAATTTAAATTTAATTTGGGTGCAGCATTGCATGACCGCACAATTGTCAGTTAAAGTACTGCAACGCAAAGAAAATGGCCTGGTCAGGAAAGAGGAAAAAACCTCAAGAGAGCAAGTGGATCTTAACCCCCCGGTCACATCAAAGCCGATTTTGAAATTGGGTGACCTGCCAATTTCAGTTGCAATTAGCAAGACATCCGACACAGATGTCTATTCAAATCACAACAAAAGTAGTGTATGTGCTACTTTAGAAATTGGTGCAGCTCCGACCAAGTCAAATCCGCACCGATACGACCGCTCTAATAGCAGACAACAGGATGCGACTTGGCCTCGATTTGCAAGTCGCATGGCATGCAAATCGCATCCGATAAGACCGGGGCATTACCCTGCTTTTCACACTACAATGAATCAGCTCCTTTCACTGTACATGTCTGCAGGCGCATTTGTATGTTTTCAATGCATTTGCATGCGTGTGCAGT